CCCACTTTACAGAAAAGGAGAAAAATTCTCAGAGAGGGAATTGCTTTATTCAAGTTTGAGAGAATCAGCATCTGAACCCAGCACCCATGTTAATCCTTGTCTGAGGATATTTTTACATTGATTTTTAGATAAAGTAGAAGGGAGGAAGGGAGGGAGAGAGAGAGAGAAACATCGATGTGAGAGGGACACATCGACTGGTCGCCTCCCACATAACCCAACCAGGGCCAGGGACGAACCGCAACCGAGGTACATGCCCTTGACTGGAATTGAACCAGCGACTCTTTGGTCTGAAGACTGACACTCTAACCACTGAGCAACTGGCCAGGGTTTTATCTTGAGAAACTGAAATTGAGTCCCTGTTAAACACTAACTCCCCATCCCCCCTCCTACCCCTGTCCCTGGTCACCACCGTTCTCCTTTCTGGATCTATAAATTTGGCTAGTCTAGACACCTCATGGGAGTGACATCTTACAGTATTTGTCTTTTTGTGACTGTCATATTTCACTTGGCATAATATCTTCAGGGTTCATCCTCGTGTCAGAATTCCCTCCTTTTTAAGGCTGAATAATATCCCCGTCTGTCTGTACCCTGCTTGTTTATCCATCCATCCACTAGTGAACACTTGGGTAGCTGCACCCGTACTCCTAACCACTGCCCTCCACTATTAGTCACGGATGGTTTCACCCGCACAAGGAAGAGATCATTCTTTAAGAGCACTGAGAAATGCAGATGAATGAAAACCAAATAGCCCGGTTGGTGTGGCTCAGTGGTTGAGCATCGACCCCCGCACCAAGAGGTCGCTGGTTCGAATCCCGGTCAGGGCACATGCCCAGGTTGTGGGCCCAATCCCCAGTGGGGGGCATGCAGGAGGCGGCCAATTGATTTCTCTCTCATCGATGTTTCTATCTCTCTCCCTTTAAAATCAATAAAGGAAATAATTAGCAAAATAAAATAAAATCACCCATCACACTGTCTGGTAGAGACCCCATGCACAATATTATAGTGTTTTATTTAGTCTAAAATTATACATGTTACTATATAAACTTCAAAAAGAGAGAGCCAGCCTGCCCCCCCCCCCCACACCTGTGTTGGCACTGCATGAAGGAACTCATGGGTGTTCGCCAACGTCAGAGCCCTGATAAAGCTGTAGACAGAGTCTGTCCGGAAACATGTACAAACACATTAACTTTACCTGTCTGTGTCGAGGGATCTGTGAGGGCAGGGACCCTGTGTGTCTTATGGCCAAATTTCCAGGATTTAGCTCAATGCCTGGGACACAAAGGTGCTCATTAAGTACTTACTGCAGAAGGAGTGTAGAGATAGGAAGAGGAGAGAGTAGGACTACTTTCCTGCCAATGACATTGATGTTGATTTTATTTGCTTCTAGTGTATCGCCATGACAGGGAGACAGTGCTGTGAGGAACATTTTCCTATGTATGTTTCTTTCCCAATGACCAATTAGTTGCATACATTCTTGCAAGGGGAAGGCTGGGTCAAAGATATGCACAGAAGGTTTTGCCATGTGTTGGAATGGCCTTTCAGGAGGCCTGTACTAATTGACACTCCCATCGGCAGGTATGAGTACCTGTTTTACTACATCCTTGTCAACACTCGGTATTATCATGGTTTCAATTCTGTCAATCTGATAGGTGGAAAATATGTTGTTATTATCTCAACGAACATTTCTTTGACTTCCAGTAAGGCTGAGTAATTTCATTACATTTGTTAACTTTCTTTGCAAATTGCCCATCATACCCTTTGCCTATGCTCCCGTCTCCCTTTTGGTGGAGTTTCCCCCTCCCCTTCTTATTGATTCACAAGAGCTCTTTACATATTATGGATACCAACTCTTTGTCGTTTTGGTGGGCAAGTGGAGCCAGAAGTTGAAAGAGGGGATTCCCTGCTCAAGCTACACATCTAACAAGAGGTGGAATGGGAATTTGAAACAAAATATGAGAGAAAAACATAGATCATTTGCCTCACCTATGTGCCCCAACCAGTGATCGAACTCACAACCTAGGTATGTGCCCTGACCAAGAATCGAACTTGCATACTTTTGTTGTATGGGATAATGCTCCAACCAACTGTGCCACCTAGCCAGGGAAGTATCTGGTATTATTGTTTTTAATTTAATTTAATTTTTAATTTTTTTATCCTCACCCGAGGACATTTTTTCATTTTTTGTTCAGGTAGAGTGGGAGAGAGAGGAACAGAGAGAGAGAGAGACATCGATGTGAAAGGAACACATCGAGTGGTTGCCACCCGCACAATCGACCAGGGCCGGGGACAAACTGCAACCGAGGTACGTGCCCTTAGCGGGAACCGAACCCGCGTCTCTCAGGACCGCAGGCTGACGCTCTAACCGCTGAGCCAAACCGGCCAGGGCTAATTTTATTTTTTTAAATCCTCACCAGAGGATATTTTCCCATTGATTTTTAGATAGAATGGAAGGGAGGGAGGGAGAGAGACACACACATCCATTGGCTGCCTCCTGCATGACCCCAACCAGGGCCAGGAATCAAACCTGCATTCCAGGTACATGACCTTGACTGGGAATCAAACCTGTGACCCTTCTGTCTGAGGATTGACGCTCTAACTGTGGAGCCAAACCGGCCAGGGCTGATATTATTGTTTTAAAAAATTAAAACATTTTTTTTCTCTTCAGTCACATGTCTTGCCAGCTGCCTCCTCCTTCCAGCCAACCTCCTGTTATCTGAAACATCTGTCACTCCCCAAGCAAGTTGTCTTATAACTCCTAGCTTTTGCATATGCTATTTTACCTCTCTACTTGCTCCACTTGAAGAATTCCTACTTATACTTCAAAACCCTATTTGGGTTTCCCTTCCTCTGGGAAGTCTTCCCTCACTCCTAGGCTGAGTTTCCAATTACAGATCCTGGACCAAGGGCTGTTGTGTTCCCTTTGGCCTTTTCAGGACACTACAGAAATAAGACACACCTCTCCAAGAAAAAAAAAAAATCGTTAGCTCCAAACTATAAAAGCTGCAGAACCAAAGTGAACACATTTCATTCCATGTGTAGAAAACAAAACATTACATCAACTTTATTGTGCAAGCCAATATTCAAAAACCTCTTGGGACAGTAGGAAACAATTTATCAGTCAGATATTTTTCACTTCAAAGAATTCTCAAGTATGTCTGTTGATTGCTGACAAATCCAATCCAATAATAAATCAAATGAAGTACTTGTTGCCAAATTATTTCTCAAACAAAATTATAAAAATCTCTAGAGTGCTGTTTTTCTTTTTAGTCAGCTTTATCACAGTCTAACTTACATGCAATAAAATCCACTTTTTAAAAAATCCTCAACAGAGGATATTTTTATTTTCCCACTTATCTTCAGATGGAGTGGCAGGGAGGGAGAGAGAGAGAGAGAGAGAGAGAGAGAGAGAGAGAGGTTGCCTCCTGCACTGCTGCAGGACCCTGGACCCTGACCTGGGCTGGGGACCAACCACAACTGAGGTACCTGCCCTTGACTGGAATCGAACCCCAAAGTCTTTGGTTCATGGGCCACCACTCCAACCGCTGAGACAAACCGGCCAGGGCAAAATTCACTATTTTTAAGTGAACACACCGAGGTTTGACAAATGTACACAGTCAGGTATATAAACACCAGTAGGATGAAGATTGAGGCTATTTCCAAAACCCACCAAAATTCCCTTTCCAGTAATCACTTCCCCCACACCCTCTGACCCAACCACTGAGCTTCATTCTTTCACTGTAGTTTTGTCTTTCCTGGAATGTCATATAACTAGAATCCTATAGAACCAGTCCTTAGGGTCGGCTACAGGGTCCCTCAGGTCCGGGAGTCCAAACACCCAGCCTTTCGCCCTCAGACCAGGAGTCCAGGCCCCCAGCCCCTCCTCCTCAGACCCAGGAGTCCAGGCCCCCAGCCCCTCCTCCCTCAGACCCAGGAGTCCAGGCCCGCAGCCTCCTCCTCTTTGGGTTGGTAGGTCCTCATTTCTGAGCATGAAAATTCTAAAATTCAGCCATAGTCTACGAGGAAGGTATTATTATTGTTATTATTATTTTATTATTTTTTATCCTCACCCGAGGACATTTTTTTTTTTTTAATCCTCACCGCAAGACATTTTTTCCCCCCTATTTTTTGTTCAGATAGAGTGGGAAGGAGAGAGAGGAAGAGAGAGAGAGAAACATCGATGTGAAAGGGACACATCGAGTGTCTGCCACCCGCACGACCAACAACTGCAACCGAGGTACATGCCCTTAGTGGGGACCGAATCCAGGTCTCTCTGGACCGTAGGCCAACGCTCCAACCGCTGAGCCCAACGCCAGGGCGAGGAAGGTATTATTGTCGAACACCTTTACAGACGAGGAAGCAGGCTGATACATTAAAAAAAATTTTTTTTCTTTATTAATTTTATTTTCTTTATTATTATTTTTTTAATCCTCACCGGAGGACATTTTTTCTTATTTTGTTCAGATAGAGTGGGAGGAAGAGAGAGAGGGAAACCTCGACGTGAAAGAGACACATCGAGTGGCTGCCACCTGCACAACCCAGCCAGGGTCGGGGACAAACTGCAACCGAGGTACATGCCCTTAGCGGGAACTGAACCCGGGTCTCTCTGGACCGCAGGCTGACGCTCTAACCTCTGAGCCAAACAGGCCAGGGCCAGGCTGATGCATTTGAAGGACGCCCAGAGTCGCAGCCCTGAAGCGGCAGCTGCAGGATTGCAATACTCGTTTCACCTAGAACGGCGCGGCGCCTTGCAGCGGAGCGAGTGTGACGTCATTACAACAGAGCGCAGGCCCCGCCCCTCCGACTCCGCCTCCAGCTCCCAGCCACGCCCCCAGCCCCGTAAACTACCATTCCCAGCAGGGGTAGCGCTCACGGCCCATCCCCATAGGGCCCGCCCTGGAAGCCCCGCCCCATGCCCCGCCCCGGCCCCGCCCCTTTCAGGAAGTCAGCGGGGCCCGCCTCGCCTGCCCTTCCCCACGTGAATCCCAGGTCGCACGCTCCTTGGCGCCACGCGGGCGGCGGGTCCGCGGTCTGCTCCGCGCTGGGTCGCGCTCCAGCCCGGCATGAACCGCTACATCGTGCCGATGTCCCTGCTGGGCTCGGCGGTGGGTGGCGCCGTGCTGCTCAGGTGAGTGAGTGCGGGCTCGGATCGGCAGCCAAGGGAGGCGAGGCGGGGTGCAGCCCACCAACGCCTCGCCCACCGGCTCACCCCACCAGCAGCTCCCCTGGAAAACGTGGGGACACACCTAAGCCCCGAGCCGGCAGGTCACCGCCAAGGTCACCCAGAGGAAGGGGCGGTTCCCGGCCCTTGTAAACATTTTGGTCTTGTTGCTTCCGGGCTTTTCATTGATGAATGAAGTCACTCGGCAGGTAGTGATCGAGCAGTTCCCCGTGTCACTGGCCCCGGTGCAAGGGGAATGTATGTCACCTGCGCTCTCTTATCCGGAGTCAGAGAAACAGAAGTGTGTGCAGCTTGGGGAAGGAAAAGGCCGTATAGCATGAGATGTAGATATTCACAGTTCTTGTCTTTCCTAGCCTAGCTCACTTAAAAAAAGACCCCCAAACCCCCAAACAGTTACCAACTGTTCTATAGCTGCACTGGCCAGTAGACCTCTCTGCAATAATGAAGTGGTTTTGTTTTTGTTTTTATTACTTTATTGATTTTTTTTATACTTTATTTATTTATTTTTATTTTTTATCCTCACCCGAGGACATTTTTCCATTTTTTGTACAGATAGAGTGGGAGGGAGAGAGAGAGGAAGAGACAGAGAGACAGAAACATCGATGTGAAAGGGACACATCGAGTGGCTGCCACCACACGACCAACCAGGGCCGGGGACAAACTGCAACCGAGGTACGTGCCCTTAGCGGGAACCGAACCCGGGTCTCTCCGGACCGCAGGCCGATGCTCTAACCGCTGAGCCAAACCGACCAGGGCTACTTTATTGATTTTTTTTAATATATATTTTCTTTTTTTAATCCTCACTCGAGTACACTTTTGCATTTATCTTCAGATAGAGTGGGAGGGAGAGAGGGAGGAAAAGAGAGAGAGAAACATTAATGTGAGAGAGACACATTGGTTGCCACCCACATGACCTCAACTGGGGTGAGGACGAACCACAACCGAGGTACATGCCCATAGTGGGAACCAAACCTGGGACTCTCTGGTCCGAGGGCCGATGCTCTAACTGCTGAGCCGAACTGGCCAGGGCAATAATTTTTTTTCTTTATTGATTTCAGAGAGAGGAAGGGAGAGGGAGACAGAGAACATTGATTGGCCGCCTCCTGCATGCCCCCCACTGGGGATCGGGCCCACAACCTGGGCATGTCCCTTGACCAGGAATTGAACTGGCAACCTCCTGGTGCATGGGTGGATGCTCATCCACTGAGCCACACCAGCTGGGCTAGTTTATATATATACATATATATATTTTATTGATTTTTTTTTTTATAGAGAGAGGAAGGGAGAGAGAGAGAAACATCAATGTGAGAGAGAAACATCGATCGACTGCCTCCTGCATGCCTCCTACTGGGGATGGAGCCTGCAACCGGGGCATGTGTCCTGACCGGGAATCAAACCGGCAACCTTTTGATGCACAGGATGACGCCCAACCAGCTGAGCCACACCGGCCACACCAGCCAGGGCACATTTGTGATACGTGCCCTCAGCGGGAACCGAACCTGGGACTCTCTGGTTCGCAGGCTGACGCTCAACCACTGAGCCAAAGTGGCCAGGGCACATTTGCCTGTTTTAACAAACACAGTGGGTCTATATAAAATAACAGTTGTCACAACCTGGAGGCCTCCTCACGCCGTGCTGTGCCCCACACTTTGCCTGTAATGTGACAACGGCTCATGGAGTTATGCAAAGTTGTTTCCGTTGGGGGGACACAAGTTCAGAGGGGTCATTTGCCTGAGATCAAAGCAGTGGGGGTCACCTGTGGTGAGTGGACAGAGATGGAACCGAGCATGCTTTCTTGCCTGCAGGGACTATGTTGCCGGTGGGGCCTGTCCCAGCAAGGCCACCATTCAGGGGAAGACTGTCATCGTGACAGGCGCCAACACTGGCATCGGGAAGCAGACGGCCTTGGAGCTGGCCAGAAGAGGTGAAGTCCTCGGAGGCAGGAGCTGGATGACAAAGGGGAAGGGACTAAGAAGCACAGATTGGCAGTTACAGAATAGTCATGGAGGTGTAAAGTACAGCACAGGGAATATAGTCAATAATACTGTAATCACTATGGATGGTGGCAGAGGGGTACAAGGCTTATCGGGGGGATCACTTTGTAAGTTATATATAAATGTCTGATCACGATGCTGTACACCTGAAACTAATTTAATATTGACTGTCAACTGTAATTGAAAAAAAAAGAGGCGAGGTCGTGCTTTCCCTGTTGGAGGCTGAGGTGGAGGGTTTGCTTTCCAGGGGACGTCCAGGTTATCCGATTTTTTTCTTGCAGTTGGCAGAAGCCAAACTCACACCTGTTTAAGCCCCGGGAGAGGTTAGGGGGTGTTCAGGGTCTCAACAGAGGCTGTAGATGCTCGACATATTTTGGTTTTGGTTTTTCTTTTCTTTTTTTTTTTTTTTTTTATCCTCACCCAAGGACATTTTTCTTTTCTTTTTTTTCAGATAGAGTGGGAGGGAGAGACAGAGAGAGAAACATCAATGTGAAAGGGACACTTCGAGTGGCTGCCACCCGCACAACCCAACCAGGGCCGGGGACAAACTGCAACCAAGGTACATGCCCTTAGCGGGAACCGAACCCAGGTCTCTCTGGACCACAGGTCGACGCTCTAACCACTGAGCAAAACTGGCCAGGGCTGGTTTTTCTTTTTTTTAATTTTTTTTTTTTTTTTTTTGTTCAGGTAGAGTGGGAGGGAGAGAGAGGAACAGAGAGAGAGAGAGAGAGAAACATCGATGTGAAAGGAACACATCGAGTGGCTGCCACCCGCACGACCGACCAGGGCCGGGGACAAACTGCAACCGAGGTACGTGCCCTTAGCGGGAACCGAACCCGGGTCTCTCAGGACCGCAGATCGACGCTCTAACCGCTGAGCCAAACCGGCCAGGGCTGGTTTTTCTTTTTTAAAAAATGTGTTTTCATTGATTTTAGAGGGAGAGAGAGAAACATCAATGTGAGAGAGACACATTAATGGGTTGCCTCCTGTATGTGCCCCGACTGGGACTGGGAATTGAACCTGCAGTTCAGGTACATGCCCTTGACGGGGAATCAGACCCGAGACTCTTTGGTGCATGTGCTGATGCTGTAACCTCTGAGCAAAATCACTTAGGGCTTCCACTCTCAATTAGAACATTTTCAACACGCAAAATGAAATCTTGCTTTCCTTAGTCATCCCCTGATTATTCACCCCTCCCTAGGAAACCATGAATCTACCTTCCATGGATTTGCCTGTTCTAGACATTTTATAGAAATTGAATCATATACTGCATGTCCTTGGCTGTATGGTTTCTTTTACTCAGCCTCATGTTCTGTGGTATAGCATGGGTCAGAACTTCCTTCCTTTTTCATAGTTGAATAATATTCCTTTGAATGGACAGGCCATATATATATTTTTTCTTCTGTTTATTTATTTGTGGATACTTGGGTTTCCACCTTTGAGCTATTGTGAATGGTGCTGTTGTGAACACGTGTCCACGTTTTTGTGCAGGCTTATGCTTTCATTTGTATTGGGCATATACTTATCTAGGAGTGGATCTTAAAATTTTTTTTAAAAAAATTCTGGGCTTCCAAGGAGGCAACATCATCCTGGCCTGTCGAGACATGGAGAAGTGTGAGGCAGCAGCAAAGGACATTCGTGGGGAGACCCTGAATCACCACGTCAATGCACGGCACCTGGACTTGGCCTCCCTGAAGTCCATCCGAGAATTTGCAGCGAGGATCATTGCAGGTAGGAGGGAGGGTGCTGGCCCCGTGGGGTGAGATCTCGGGCAGCCAGGCTCTGGGGACTCTGGAATTGAACCAGGCCGGGACCTTAAGCCTGTGAAAGCCAATCATCTTAACCGTCAGGTTTTAAAAAAAAAAATTTTTTTTAAATTAATTTTTAGAGAGGAAGGGAGAGGGAAAGAGAGGAACATCAATGCGAGAGCAAAGCATCGATCGGCTGCCTCCTGCATGCTCTCTACCTGAGATCAAGCCAGCAACCTGGGCCTGTCCCCTGACCGGGAATCGAATGTGCAACCTTTCGGTGTACAGGGACAACGCCCAACCAACCGAGCCACACTGGCCAGGGCTGTCTGGTCCCTGACAGAGAATGTTTGCTGACTCCTGCTCTGCAGGAAAACAAAATCCTTCTGTATTAGCTTGGATCCTACAAGATGCGGAGGCCGGGATGGGACGCTGAGGAAGAGTTGGCCAGGGCAAGAGGGGCAGGAACAGTGATTCATCCATTGTTTCCTGAAGCTTTCTGTCTCTTTCGGGTGACACCGGGGACACTCAGATGAGTCAGATTGAGGGTGTGCCTCCAAGGAACCCCAAGTTCTGTGGGCACACGACCATAACAATCCACAGGGGCTCCCACTTCTTTGCTGGACGTTTCTTTTCACAAATCCAAGGCTCAGCTTCGAGTTTTTCTGCACTTATCCCTTTGATTGCTGACTCACTCGTTTTGCTTCCCACCTGGTGTTCTCTGAACTGTTCACGTATTAATTTATTTTGAATAGCAGTAACGCTGGCAGTCTTAAATGTTCAGAAAGTACAAGAGAGCCCTGGCTGGTTTGGCTCAGCGGTTGGAGCATCGGCCTGCAGACCAGAGAGTCTTGGGTTTGGTCCCGCTAGGAACACGTACCAAAAAAAAAAAAGTACAAGAGAGGAGACAGCCAAACGTCTCCCTACCACACCTGCCCCCAGCTCCCAGCCGCCTTCCTCACCTGTGCTGAGCGCTCGCCTGTCCTTCTGGAGAGAAGCCACACACTTATTAAGCAGGCAGGTGTGCCACTGACCCTTGGCCTTTTTGTACAAAGTGGAGCCTGTTGTGCGCCCAGTGCTGCCCCGGCTTTTTCTCCCCGATTCTCTCTCACAGATCGGTGAGGGCAGAGTTACCTTGTTCTTGCGGCTACATTGTATTTCTTTATTCTTTCATTGTGGCTACATTGTATTTCTTTATTCTTTTCTTGCGGCTACATTGTGTCCTGTCCTGTGGCTCCCACAGGTTGGCAGGTTGGCTTCTGGCCTTTTCAGGGCTGCCGCGAATGTCCGTCTTCGTGTACGTGTTATTGGTCACATGTGTGACGATGTCTGCAGATTTTGGGGACAGTCTGTTCCTCTCCACTTGGCTGCATGTTAAATAGAAGCAGGAAAGCTAGCCGGGAGACAGAGGAGGTTTTTTTTTTTTTTTTTTTTTATCCTCACCCAAGGATATTTTTCCATTTTTTGTACAGATAGAGTGGGAGGGAGAGAGAGGAAGGGAGAGAGAGAGAAACATCGACGTGAAGGGACACATCGAGTGGCTGCCACCCGCATGACCAACCAGGGCCGGGGACAAACTGCAACCGAAGTACGTGCCCTTAGCGGGAACCGAACCCGGGTCTCTCCGGACCGCAGGCCGACGCTCTAACCGCTGAGCCAAACTGGCCAGGGCCAGAAGAGGTGAACCAATAAACATGTACTTTTTTTTTTTTAATTTTTAAACCTCTGATGCAAAGAAATACATGTTTCTTATGGGAAAATCTATAAAATTCTGAACAGGTCATCCTGGTCGGTAAAGAAGAACTAAACACTATTGATTCCGCGCCAACCCCAGGGTACTTACTGTTAACCTCTTTCCCCTATATCGTGAAATTTTCACTGTGAAAACATAGCTACTGTTCTTTTTTATAATAATAATAATTATGATTAGGGGCCGAAACCCAGGATTGAACCAGCATACGGTTCTTTATTTTAACAATACACATGAATAACACGTGGGAAGAATTACAGAGGGGGAAACTGAGTCACAGAGGTGCTGTGTGACTTGGCTGAGATCACAGAGTGGATAGAGGCGGGGATTTGAACCCCTGTCTGATGGGCTCCGGAGCTTGTGTTCCTGACGGCTGTGCTACACCCCTCTGCCCCCAAATAGAGATCAAAATAGAGGCTGTTTATTAGGTGCCAGATGACCAATTCGTCATTTCTGTTGATCCTGAAAACCACTTTGGGGGCGTTACCGATTTGTTCCTGTCTCCCCCACAAAAAGATGTGTGGAGGTCTTCGCCCTCCCAGGAACTCAGAAAGTGACTTGATATAGAGATGGGGTCTTGACAGAGGTACTCAAGTGAAAACAAGGTCAATAGGGTTGGGTCCTAGGCCAACCTGACTGGCGTCCTTAGAAGAAGAGGAGGTTCGGACGCAGACACAGGGACAAGACAGCTGTCCCCATGGTGAGCATTGGCAGGGAACCGTTTATCTGTCATGTTCTCAGAGGAAACCAGCCCTGCAAGGCACCTTGGTCTTTGGCTTCCAGCCTCCAGAACTGGGGGTGACAGATTCTTGTTATGCTGGTTGCCCAGTGTGTGGCGAGAAATCTGAGATCAGGGATAGGCAGGGCTGCAAGGGTTGAGTCCTCCCTCCCTCCCTCCCTCCCTCCCCCGGCTTCTAGTGGTGGCCGTCCATGCTGGTGTTCCTTGGCTTGTAGCTACATCTCTCCACTCTGCCTCCGTTGTCATGCCGCCATCTCACATGCATTTGTCTGTGTCCATTTCTTTTTTTTTTTTTATCCTCACCTGAGGACATTTTTTGATATTTTGTTCAGATAGAGTGGAAGGGAGAGAGAGAGAAAGAGAGAAACATCGATGTGTAAGGGACACATCGAGTGGTTGCCATCCACACGACCCAACCAGGGCGGGAGACAAACTGCAACCGAGGTACATGCCCTTAGCAGGAACCAAACCCAGATCTCTCTGGACCGCAGGCCGACATTCTAACCGCTGAGCCAAACCGGCCAGGGCATGTCTGTGTCCATTTCTCATGAGGACACCAGTCACTGGACAAGGGCCCACCCTGTGACCTCATCTTTGCTTGATTACTTCCACAAAGACTCTGTTTCCAAAGAAAGGTCACACCCACAGGTGGACGCTAACGTTGGGGGGACGTGGTTCAGCCCAGCACAGGCCCGGAGCTGATGCGTTTGCCCTGACCCGTGTCTTCCAGAGGAGGAGAAAGTGCACATCCTGGTCAACAACGCGGCTGTGATGCGGTGCCCACACTGGACCACGGAGGATGGCTTCGAGATGCAGCTTGGCGTGAACCACCTGGGTGAGGCTGTGAGCTGTGCTGTTGGCATCCGCCTGGGATGTGAGCAGGTCCCTAGTGGGTCAAACACAGGCTTGTGGACGGGGTGTCCTCCTCCACTCTCCAAGTCGGCCTGGTGGCCACTCATGGGGTCATGCAGCTGCTGAGGGAGTTGCCTGTTTCTTGCTGGATGCTCATAAAGTCTTTGGGATCCTCCATCAGTCTCTCGAATTTTTTTTTCTTTTCAATCTTCACCTGAGGATATTTTTCTATTCATTTTCAGACTGAGTAGGAGGGAGAGAAAGGGAGAGAGAGAGGAAAAGAGAAACATTGATGTGAGAGGGACATATCAACTGGTTGCCTACCGCATGACCCTGACCAGGGCCGGGGACGAACTGCAATCAAGGTATGTGCCCTTGGCCAGAATCTAACCCGTGACTCATTGGTCCATGGGCCAACGTTCTACCGCTGAGCCAAACTGGCCAGGGCAGTCTCTCGACTTTTTATCTCTTTGTCCTTCAGTCTCAGCCTGTCCTTCAGTTACTCTGTCAGTCTATCTGTTGACACTCTGCATGTGCCTGGGGTTTGGTTAGGAAGGGCCAGGGGGCAATGGGACATATTGGATGAGGCCCCAGCCTAACGACCTTACTTGAACTTATTATCTCTGTAAAGATCCTGTCTTCAAATGAGGTCACATTCTGAGGTTCTAGAAGGTAGGACTTGAACATATTTTTTAGGGGAGTAGGGAGACACAACTCAACCCTACACACACACACACACACACACACACACACACACACACAAACTATCATGCCCTATTGGCTGGGACTAATCACGTGGCCAATCTAGTTGCAGAGGAGTCTGGGAAATGTAGTCTTTCACTGAGCTGTCTTGGGCATAGCCCAAAATTCTATTATTGAAGAAGTGGAGAAAAGATTTTGGGAGGCAGAAGGCAGTCTTTTTTTCTACTGATCTCAGAGTGCTTGACATTTGTGGCTGCACAATTCCTTGTTGTGTGGACTGCCCTGTGCGTTGTAGGACGTTGAGCAGCACCCCTGGCCTCCACCCACTAGATGGCAGTAGCATCCCTATGTGCCACAGTTGTGACCATCAAAATTGTCTCCAGATGTTGCCAAGTGTCCCCTGGGGGTTCCATGTTGCTTCCGGAAGAGAACCATGTGTTATTGGGAGGGTGAGATAAGGTAAGGTCCTTAGCACGCTCCTGGGCACCTGGTAAGAGTTCAAGGACGGTTATCTTGTTGTTATCTTTCTTCCAGGTCACTTTCTTCTGACAAACTTACTGCTGGATAAGCTGAAGGCTTCGGCCCCTTCGCGGATCATCAACCTCTCGTCCTTGGCCCACGTTGCTGGGCACATTGACTTTGATGACCTGAACTGGGAGAAGAGGAAGTACAACACCAAAGCGGCCTACTGCCAGAGTAAGCTGGCGGTGGTCCTCTTCACCAAGGAGCTGAGCCGGCGGCTGCAAGGTGTGTGTGACGTCACTGTTCCTTCGCTCGGAGCCTGGAACAGTCCTGCTGTGACTCTGAGCCATGGGAGGTCAAGCCTGGGCTCTAGGACGGAGTAGGCAAATGCTTGACACACACCACCAGGCTCCCTGCTGGTACCTGGAGCAGACATCACTAATCAATCACACACACCAGGCTCCCTGCTGGTACCTGGAGCAGACATCGCTAATCAATCACACACACCAGGCTCCCCGCTGGTACCTGGAGCAGACATCACTAATCAATCACACACACCAGGCTCCCCACTGGTACCTGGAGCAGACATCACTAATCAATCACACACACCAGGCTCCCCGCTGGTACCTGGAGCAGACATCACTAATCAATCACACACACCAGGCTCCCCCGGTACCTGGCACAGACATTACTAATCACACACCACCAAGCTCCCTACTAGTGCTTGCAGCAGACATCAATAATCAATCATGCCTTCTTTGGCATCTGAACCTTTGGTGCTCCAGGCCAGTGGACATTTGGCAATATCTGGAGATACTTTTGGTTGTCACTTCGAAGGCGGTGTTGCTACTGGCATCCAGTGGACAGAAGCTGGGGACGCTGCTGGACACCTCCGATGCATGGGTTAAAGAGTGATGAGACCTCAGTGTCCGTAGTTCTCACCTTGAAGTCTGCCCTTGGCCCTTGCTTCTCCTAGAGGGTGTGTGGGCCAGCAGTGTGAGCTCACCTGGGGGCCTGTCAGACCCCGCCCTGACCCACTGCATCAGACCTCTGGGGCGGGGCCCAGTGGCCTGGGCTACTCAAGCCCTCCACAGGATGTCAGCACTCACTCAGGAGGAGAGGCTCTGCTGTGGACAGCCGCCCTGCAAGATGAAACCACCTGGATGGAGGCTTCAAGAGGGTCCTGTGGGTTCAAGGGCAGGATATGGGGGAGCCCCAGAGCTCAGGATGGACAGCGTCAGGCTTCCTGGTAAGGAGGGAATCTGGCGTCTGTCTTCCCCCCCTACCCCATCCTTCCGTTCTCTCCCCAGGCACGGGCGTGACCGTCAACGCTCTGCACCCTGGCGTGGCCAGGACAGAGCTGGGCAGACACACGGGCATGCATAGCTCCACCTTCTCCAGCTTCACGCTCGGTAAGTCCCCTCCTGGCCTGGGGTCCGCTCGCTGAACCCTGCCCTCCCAGCTTGGGCGCAGGAACCTCCTTCAGTATATGAGTCGGAACCAATGGGATATAGCTCTATATATCTATATATCTAGAAGATTTATTAGGAGAGATTGGCTCATGGTGTGTGGAGGCTGAGAAGTCCCACGATCTGCCCTGGGCACGGAGGTCCAGGGAAGCTGATGGTGTAGTCTCAGTCTGAGTCTGCAGGCCACGAGCACCAAAGGCCGACTGCAGGAAGAGATGGATGTCCCGGCTTGATCAAGCCGAGAGTGAATTCACCCTTCCTCACCTTTGTGTCCTGTTCTGGCCCTCAACTGACTGCATGCTGCCCACCTGGGCTTTCTTTACTCAGTCTCTCGATTCAAAGGCTCATTTCTCTGGGCACACCCTCACAGACACACCCAGAAATGAGGTTCCTCCAGCTCTCTGGTGGTCCATTAGCCGGTCAAGTTGACAAAGTTATCGTCACACTCAGAGACTGTCTGAATGGCTTGGCTGTGCTCCCTCTGTGGTACCAAGGACAGGTTACTTTTCTGTGTCGAGCTGGCCGGCCAGCCTCAGGATAGTCCCAGGAAACAGGCCAGAGCCCTTTGTTGATAAAGCCATGTCTCAGAGGTTACCTCAGCTTCACCCCAAACTGCCTGTGCCACCCAGGGCAGGGACCTCTCTGAGACTCCATGTCCTCATGCAAAGGGAGGACCAGAATAGTACTGTCACTGTCACTGGGAGGGTTAGAGATGAGACCGCCCGTAAAAGGACCAGCACAGTGCCTGGCCCAGACTGCAGTGGAATAATTAGAACTTTGTAACTAGCATTCATAATCCTGAAAACCATTTAGTGAGTGGGTGTCAGGTGGCAAAGAATTTTTTCCCCCCATTTTTTAAATTTTTTATTCTCACCCGAGGACATTTTTGCATTTATCTTCAGATAGAGTGGGAGGGAGAAGGGGAAAGAGAGAGAGAGAGAGAGAAACATCGATGTGAGAGAGACACATTGAGTGGTTGCCACCCACACGACCCCAACCAGGGCTGGGGACAAACTGCAACCGAGGTCCATGCCCTTAGCGGGAACTGAACCCGGGACTCTCTGGTCCGCAGGCCGACATTCTAACGGCGGAGCCAAACTGACCAGGGCTTTTGTTTCCCAATTTTTATTAATTTATTTTTGTTATAGGTGTTCCCCCCCACCCAGCCACCCTCTTCTCCATCCCGCCCTCCCAGGTGGCAAAGATTTTAAGCTGAGGTGGACACTGGAGACATTCAATAAATAAAAATTATTTTAAAGCAGGATGAGGCACGGTGGGGACTTGGGCTGGATAAAAAGGAGGGAGAACTTCCATTTGCCTGGGCAAAGCCAGGAGGCTTCCTGGAGGAGGCAGCTTGTAGGCTGGTCCCTGCTTCTGGAGGGATGTGCTAGGGAAGGGAATTGCTGGTGGTGGGAACCACAGGAGCAAGAGCCTGACGGTGGGCTTGGCTCCAGGCCAGCCTCTGGTTCCGTGGGCCCTGTGCGCTGGGGTGGACTCGGGCTTTTTGTATCTTCCCCTCTGAATGTCTGAGGACTGAACGCTGTGGGCCGATTGCAGGGCCCATCTTCTGGCTGCTGGTCAAGAGCCCCCAGCTGGCGGCCCAGCCCAGCACCTACCTGGCGGTGGCAGAGGAACTGGAGGGCGTTTCTGGAAAGTACTTCGATGGGCTCAAAGAGAAGGCGCCGGCCCCCGAGGCTGAGGATGAGGAGGTAGCCCGGAGGCTTTGGGCTGAAAGTGCCCGTCTGGTGGGCTTGAAGATGTCCTAGGGGTCCTCTCTGTGGGGACAGTTCCTCCCCAAATAACCCGGGGGCAGGCGTGCAAACCATCAGGGAGGTGGACTCATCAGGATGGAGCTGCAAGGCCAAGGCTGGATGCCAGGTCCTCACCGCCCTCTAGGTGGCAGTATTGACAGCGTGAGCCTCAAGATCCAGAAACCTGGCTGCCACACCGCAGCAGCCACGAGGTGGCAGCATCGACCAAGGGATGCTGGCTGCCATGCTCACATCACCCTCTAGGTGGCAGCATTGGCCTGCCCTCTCTTCTGGCCACAGTGGATTGGACTCCAGGTGGGCACTGACCACAGGTGAGCTGGGCCATCAGAGGCCTTTCTTGGGAATCTAAACTGGGAACTGCTGAGGGAGGAGCTGGCTCCCTCAGATGTGGGCCACAGTGATAGACATGATCAAGTTCCTAGTCCCCTGAGGGGACCTTGTACACCTCCAGGATCCTCTCTGAGCCTCTGTTTCCCCAACTGTAAAGTGTGCAGAATCACTTGACTACCTCACAGGATGGTGTGCTGAGCATTCTTTGCTAGGGAAAGTTTTCTGAGGGTCATCGTGTGCCAGACCCTGGCCAGGTGCGGTGGTGGTGGTGGGGGGCAAAGGGCATACCCCTGAACAGGGAGACACAAACCTGGCCCGTTATCCCCAAGTCACATCCCGCACAGCGTGAACAACACACCAGCTGCTGCTGAGGACCCAGGATGCCTGGGATCACGACCTTCTCTTGCCCTGTGGACTTTTTAAAAAAATCCTCACCCGAAGACATTTTTGCATTCATCTTCAGATAGAGCAGGAGGGAGAGAGGGAGGAAGAGAGAGAGAGAGAAACATCAACATGAGAGAGGCACATCAACTGGCTTCCACCCATACAACCCCAGCCAGGGCTGGGGACCAACCACAACCGAGGTATGTGCCCTTAGTGAAAACTGAACCCGGGACTCTCCGGTCCACCGGCTGACACTCTAACCGCTGAGTCAAACCAGCCAAGGCTGTGGACTTTTTAAAAAACAAAATCCTCACCCAAGGATATTTTTCCATTTATTGTCTGATAGAGTGGAAGGGGGGGTGGAGAGACAGACATAGAGAAACATTGATATGAGAGAGATACATCGACTGGTTGCCTCCTGCATGACCCAATCAGGACTGGAGATGTAGATGTACGTGCCCTTGACCAGAATCGAACCGGCAACTCATTGGTCTGCGAGCCGATGCTCTAACCGCCGAGCCAAACCAGCCGGGGTGCCCTGTGGACTTTTAAACTTGCTCTTTAATAATAATAATAATAATAATAACAACAACAACAACAACAACAACAATAGTGCCCTGTGGACTTTTAAACGTGCTCTTCAATAATAATAATAATAATAATAATAATGCCCTGTGGACTTTTATTTCTTTATTTATTTTTTTATCCTCGCTCGAGGACATTTTTCCATTTTTTGTTCAGGTAGAGTGGGAGGGAGAGAGAGGAACAGAGAGAGAGAGAGAGAGAGAAACATCGATGTGAAAGGGACACATCGAGTGGCTGCCACCCGCACAACCGAGCCAGGGTTGGGGACAAACTGCAACCAAGGTACGTGCCCTTAGCGGGAACCGAACCCGGGTTTCTCAGGACCGCAGGCTGATGCTCTAACTGCTGAGCCAAACCGGCCAGGGCAATGGCCCTTTTAAAAAAAATATTTTTCTATATTGATTTTAGAGCGAGGGGAAGGGAGAGGGAGAGAGAAACACCGATGAGAGCACACCGGTCGGCTGCCTCCAGCATGTCCCCACTGGAGACCTGCCCGCACCCGGGCACATGCCCTGACGGAATGACTGAGCCACATCGGGCCGGCGCTCTGGGCGTTTGAAAAGTCCACAGGGTGTCTTAGCAAGAAGAGGATTGAAATTAAAAGTGTGATTCTGGCCCTGGCCGGTTTGGCTCAGCGGTTGGAGCGTCGGACTGCGGTCCGGAGAGACCCGGGTTCGGTTCCCGCTAAGGGCATGTACCTCGGTTGCAGTTTGTCCCTGGCCCTGGTTGGGTCGTGTGGGTGGCAACCACTCGATGTGTCGCTTTCACGTCGATGTTTCTCTCTCTCTCTCTCCCTCTCACTCTATCTGAACAAAATATCGAAAAATGTCCTCGGATGAGGGAAAAAAAAAAAAAGTGTGATTCTGAAGCCCACCCTGTTTTGGGGGGTTGGTGGTGGGTCCAGACGAGAGGAGGAAGCCTCTTGTGCAGCCACGTGTGAGGGAGGCTTGGGGTTGATTCCGCAAACCCTCACGACCGACATCTGCTTCCTCTTCAAACCGAGAAACCCCAAGAACCACAGACACACAGTCTGGTGTCATCCTTCTCTATGTCCCCAGAGGCTTTGAGGTGACTCACAAACCCAGCTATAACCTTTGTCGATGAAAGATAATTAAAAACCCCATCGAAAAACACCCTCAAAACCACAGACGCCCAGACAGGAGATTGTGGCAAAGTAGCAAGCTGACCGAGGAAACGGAGGAGAAAGGGCCATGGTTTGTGGGGTTGTGGGGGGGTAGACGCTTCACAGAAAGGAACCCAGGTCAGGGTGAAGCCTCATACACTCTTTGGGGTCTGGGAATTATGCCAGGATGCCTTGGGGTGCTGGCAACAGGCCAGGGCGCACTGGGTGGGTGTTAGCTGGGCTGCTCTCCCCGGCACCACGGTTTCCTACAGGAGGTCTGGGGTGGGGTGGGGACAGGCTGGGTTCGGTGACATTGTCAGGATTTCATCTGCCCGACTATTTAACCACCACCAGGGTCAACTTCACTCCAAGGCTGGGTGTCCCTAGCGGGTTGATGGTGGCCCTTAAGTTACGTCCACACCCTAACCCCTGGTACTGGTGAACATCACCTAATTTGGGAAAAGGGTTCTTTTAAAGAATTCCTCCCCTGAGGATATTTTCTCCACTGATTTTGAGAGAGTGGAAGGGAAGGAGTGGAGAGAGAGAGAGAGAGAGAGAGAGAGAGAGAGAGAGATTGTTTGCCTCCTTCATGCACCGCGACTGGGCCTGGGGGTGAAACCCGCAACCCAGGTACGTGCCTTTGAGTGGGAATCAAACCCAGTGCGCAGGACAACACTCTAACCACTGAGCCACATTGGCACAGAGCTACGTGCTCATCTTAAAACCCATCAACAGCCAGGCCGGTGTGGCTCAGTGGATGGAGCGTCCTCCCATGGACCGAGAGGTCCCGGTTGGATTCCGGGTTGGATTCCCGGTCAGGGCACATGCCCTTGTGCGCTCCACCCCCAGTAGGGGGCGTGCAGGAGACAGCTGATGGTTGTTTCTCTCTCACATCTGCGTTTCTGTCTCTCTCCAAAAGCTCAATAAGAACATACTGAAAACACCCAAGAATGTCCCTCACATAATGGACTCGAAGCAGGGTTTTCCAACCCCAGCTCTGGGACCAGTGGGCCTGAGGGGGCGGCCGCCCTGGGCGCACCGGGTGCGGACCAGCATCCCTGGCCTCTACGCCAGATGCTAGCAGCCCCTCCCCCGCAGGTGTGGCAACCAAATTGTCTCCAGACACAGCTAGGTGCGCCCTGGGAGGGGACAGTCACCGTCCCTCGGGAACCACTGATGTAGACGGGCCGGGGTCCAGTTCCCGGGCTGTTGGCGTTAGGAGCTGGACACCACCGCGGTGGAGACGGACCCGGCGCACCTGTGGTTAATTGGGATGGAGCGCGGGCGGAGGCCAGGTGCTGGGAGCCGGTGGGTTTCGTTTGCCTTCGTTGTGGGAACCGTGCAAATGGTCACAGGCTGTGGCAACAGAGCCCGACCGCCTCGGGGCAGCCGAGTCTGGGGCAAGACGTGTTACAAGCCCGGGGTTTTCTCCAGCGGACCGACGCCGCTGGGATTCCCTGGGCGCTTATACCGGGGGCGGAGCGTCAAAGGAAACAAAACACTCAGTGTCGGGCTCGTCTGAGATCCGGGATTGGGTCCTTCGTGTGGACACGCGGGTAAATCTGGGAGTCCCCCCCCTCGCCCCCCGTGGCCCTTGATCTGAAGGCAGGGTCCCTCCCCAAACAGGCGGCTCCCAAGGCGAGGTTTACGCACGTCACGGCCGCCTCCTCTCCCGCCCCTGCTCTGCGGTGGCAGGTCCCAGCTCGCGGGCCGCTCAGGCCTGGCACTGATCGGCGTGAGCCTGGGCACATTTGGGAGAGGCTCTCCAGGGCCTCAGGCTGGGGTGGAAGACGAGCCCAGTCTAACAGCGGTGCAGGGTGATGTTCAGGTCCCGGCCGATTGTGGTTGAGTGGGAGCCGGTCCACGGTCCTCCTTTGCTGGAAACACAAACAGCCTGTGGCAAGGGGCACCGGTCTGCAACCAGTGTTTCTCTCTCTCTCCCTTCCTTTCTCTCTTTAAAATCAATAAAAACAGCCCTGGCCGATTTGGCTCAGCGGTTAGAGCGTCGGCCTGTGGTCCAGAGAGACCCGGGTTTGGTTCCCGCTAAGGGCATGTACCTCGGTTGCAGTTTGTCCCCGGTGGCCCTGGTTGGTCGTGCGGGTGGCAGCCACTCGATGTGTCCCTTCACGTCGATGTTTCTCCCTCCCTCCCTCCCTCCCTCCCTATCTGAATAAAACATGGAAAAATGTCCTCAGGTGAGGATAAAAAACAAAACAAAACAAAAAACCCAAAACCAAAACGAAAAGAGAATGTCTGAACTTATAGACATTTTAAAGTGAAATGGAAAAGGAAAACCCACCCATTTCTATCGTTTCATACATTTTAAACATATTTGAACCCTGGGAATGGATTACTAGAATAAAGTTAATTTAAGTCCAGTAAATCCAAGGAAGGCTCCCCCCCTCCCCCCACGGTAGCATGCGGCGATCTACTTCTGCATCCTTCCTTGCTTCCCTTGCGGTCCTCGATCTTGGAGGCCTTCCTATACCATTGCACAAAGATGGACCATATTCTTAAAACAAAACAACCAAAAAACAAAAACAAAAAAACCTACAAAAGCCCGCCCACGAGCCCATTACATGGATATATCATATGGATGCCCCAGGACAATGTGAAAAAAAAAACAACCCCAAACACACAAGTGTGATAAACGGTGCTACCCGCAGGCCTGAAGTTCTGTGAAAACCACCACCACAAAGAGAGAGTGAAAAAAAAAAAAAAGCGTTCAGACAGATCTGAAGCTGACAGCGGTCTTAGAAAAGTGAATCTCTTTTCTAAAAAGAGATTCTAAAAGGTAGAGGAGGGGCACCTTTTGGACTCTGCATGGTCAAGGAAAAAAGGAGAAAGGGGGGAAATTAGGGTATTGCAGGAGGCGTGGGGGAAGGGACATAAACCTCTCTCCCTAATAAAAACGTGTACTTCACCGCCCTGACAGCAGAGGGCGCACTTGTCCGAAAAAGTTTTCACACTAGCAACCAGGAGCGTTAACTATTTAAGAACACAGCGGAGAAAAAAAAAAAAAAAAAGAACACATCGGAGGAAAACTGTCTGAATGACCCCAAACCGCCAGCCCTGCGTCCGGAAACGCCAGGGCACACACAGTCGTTATCCAACACCGCCCCCCAATTCTCAAGGTGGACTTTGGTCCGCAGCTCCGTCTGCAACAGGGTCAACTGATTCTGCGCGTTCGACTCCGCTCTCTGTACACCCGCAGCAGTTGTCCTGCAGTGGACACGCAGGCCCTCGTGGACAGCACAGCGATGTCTCCCACGTGTCTGTGGCTGGAAGACCGCAGCAGGAAACCCACAGAGAAATGTGGGGCGCGCCCGGTGAGGCGGTTGAGCTCAGAGAGGCTTGTCTTGCCCCACAGGAGGACGACCTCTTCCTGTTTAGCGGGGGATGTGGTCACCCCGAGTGCAGGCCACAAAGCCCCAGGCGGCCCGTCCTGGGAGTGTCCTCCTGTGCAGATGGCAGGTTCAGGGGAGGTGCGGGCTCGTGTCCTGGGGGCCACTCTTCTGCTTGGACTTGGTGAATGCAGTCAGGGCAGTTATGTGGGAGGGGGCCGCTGACGGACGAGGACACAGATACGGTTCCGGAGCTGTGAGAACCGGGTCTTCAGACCAGGCAGGAGTGAACAGGGTTGTTTGCGAAGGAACCAAACTGGAAAACGAAACAATTGGCCCACGAGAGGGATTCCTACAGAGGGTACACGGAGGGGGACTTATCGTCTCCTCCTGCTTTGATACATTTCTCTTTGATTTTATTTACTTATTTTAAAACCTTACTTTAGCATGATTTTTAAAATTTAATTAATTAATTCATTTTTGTTACAGATGTTTCTCCTTTCCCCCCCACTGATTCCCTCCTCCGCCTCCCTCCCCGCCCTGTCCCCAGCCTTGTTGTCCATGTCCATTGTTCACACATACATGCATGTAAGTTCTGTGGTTTATTGCTCTCCCACCACCCCCTCTTCTGGGGATTGTCAGTCTGTACCCCACTTCCACGTCTCTGGGACGACCCCATTCCTCAGACTGTTATGTTCATTATATTCCACAAATAAGTGAGATCATATGTCATTATTTTTTAAAAATATGTTTTTACTGATTTTTTAGAGAGAGAGAGAGAGGAAGGAAGAGATAGAAGCATAGACGGGAGAGAGAAACATCCATCGGATGCCGCCTGCACGCCCCCTACTGGGGATCGAGTTCACAATCCAGGCATGTGCCCTGACCAGGAATCGAACCCGGACCTCTCAGTCCCTGGGAGGACGCTCCATCCGCTGAGCCACACCGGTGGGGCCCACAGTTTGTTCATTGTTCATTCATCCAAGAGTGGACACCTGGGTTCCTCCCACTTTTTAGCTTTAGTGAATAATGCTTCTGTGAGCATGGGTGTGCAAACATCTATTTAGGTTTTTTATTTGATCCTCACCTGAGGACAGCCTTAGAGAGAGAAAGGGAGAGAGAGAGGGAGAGAGACATGGATGTGAGAGAGGAACACTGATGTGAGGATGAAAGATTAATTAGTTGCCTTCTGTATGTGCCCCGACCAGGGACCAAACACCCACGTAACCCAGGCCTGTGCCCTGACCGGGAGTCAAACCGGCAGCTAGTCTGTGCACAGGGTGACGACCCATCTACTGAGCCACTCTGGCTGGGCTTAGCTTCTGTTTACATTTTTTCGGGTTCCCGGGCCAGTTTGGCTCAGTGGTTACAGTGTCGGCCCGCGGACCAAAGAATCTCAGGTTCGAGTCCGGTCAAGGGCACATACCTAGGTTGCAGGTTTGATCCCCGCCCCGGTTGGGGTCATTTGGGAGGCAACCAATCGATGTGTCTCTCTCACATCAATGTTTCTCTCCCTCTCTCCCTCCCTCCCTTCCACTCTATCTGAAAATCAATAGTAAAATATCCTCAACTGAGGATCACAAAAAAAAAAAAAAAAAATTCTTTCGGGTGTGTCCTCAGAAGTGAATGGCCGGGTCATGTGGTGGTTCAATGCTGAACATCTGAGGATCCACTGAACTGTTTTCGGTAGTGGCTGCACCTTTACAGTCTGGCCAGCCATGCATGACGGTCCCCACCTCTCCACATCCTCGCCAACACCTGTCTTGCTTGTTGACGACATCCACCCTCGTAGGTGCAAAATGGTATCTCACTGGGGTTTTGATTTGCACGTCCCCGGTGAACGTCAGGAAGTTTAGGGAGGATTGGGGTGTGGGCAGTGTCTCACTGGGCTGGTGGCAGGAGATAAGTGAGGATCCTTGGAGCTTGTGGGTGAGTCATTCCACGGAGGGGCCGCTCCAGTTTGATAAGCCTCAGTGGGGAAAGGCCAGGCTGGTAAGGGAAGGGAGGGGGGCGTTCTTCGCCCTCAGCACATCCGGTGTCCCTGCTCCAGCCCCTCACGCTTCCCTCCTGGGCCACAGAGCTCAGGACGAGCTGTGGAGCCATGTCCCCATCCCTGAATGCTCTCTTCTGTCTTGGTGAGTCCTCAGGGTTGATCTGGGGGGTGCCAAGGGACAGGCGCTGGGGTGTGAGACAATGCATTGTTTAAAAATGGCATGAGCCATGGATTTTGCAGCAAGAGGTGACCTATGAGAGCCCCTCGTTCACTGGGTGGGGACCCAGGGAGGTGGAGTGCTTGTCTGAGTTATTCTAGTCTATTCATGGCCGGGGCAGGAAATGAACAAAGGTTTCCTAGAATTGGCTGTAACTTTCTCCTACTCTTTCTCCTTTTTTTTTTTAATTCTCGCTGGAGGACTTTTTTTTTTTTGCATTTATCTTTAGATAGAGTAGGAGGGAGAGAGGGAGGAAGAGAGAGAGAGAGAGAAACATCGATGTGAGAGAGACACATCGACAGGTTGCCACCCACACGATCCCAACCAGGGCCGGGGACAAACTGCAACCAAGGTACATGCTCTTAGCGGGAACTGAACCCGGGACTCTCTGGTCCACGGGCCGATGCTCTAACCGCTGAGCCAAACTGGCCAGGGCTCTCCCACTCTTTCTTTTTATCCTCACCCGAGGATATGTTTACCGACTTTATTTATTTATTTTAAAATCCTGATCTGAAGATACTTCTCCCCACCCTGTTTATCTTCAGATAGAGTGGGAGGGAGGGAGGGAGAGAGAGAGAGAGAGAGAGAGAGAGAGAGAGAGGGAGGAATTTCGATGTGAGAGAGACACATCGATTGGTTGATTCCCACCTGATCTCCACCAGGGCTGGGGACCAAACTGCAACCAAGGTACATGCCGTTGACCATAATCAAACCCAAGACTCATTGCTCTTCATGCTGATGCTCTAACTGCTGAGTCAAGCCAGCCAGGGCAGATGGAAACATCGATGAGAGAGAACACCGATTGGCCGCCTCCTGCATGCCCCCCACTGGGGATTTGGCCCACAACCTGGGCATGTGCCCTGACCGGGAATCGAACCAGAGACCTCTTGGTGCCTGGGTTGATGATTAACCACTGAGCCACAACACCACTCTTAAAAAACAAAAGGTGGACTCGGTGATATCAGGACTAGGTTACAGAGTTAATCTGTCAATTTTCCTCACGATCCTGGGACAGATAATCCTGCCATTTGCAACAACATGGATGGACCTTAAGGGTGTTATGCTAAGTGAGATGAGACAGACAGAGGAAGAAAATACTGCATGATCTCATTTACAGAATCCAAAAAAAGCCAAACTCACAGAAGTGGAGAGTGGAAACGTGGTCACCAGGGGCTGGGGGTGAGGGAAATGATGGTCAGAGGATACAAACTTCCAGTTAAGAGATGAATACGTTCTGGGGTCTAATGTACACCATGTTGACTATAGTTAACAATACGGTATTATATACTTGAAAGTTGCTAAGAGAGTAGATCTTAAATGTCCTCACCAAAAAAAGAAATAGCAGTTATGTGACAAGATGGAGGTGTTAGCTGATGCCACCATGGAAATCATTTTGCAATATATAAATGTATCAAATCAACACACTGCCCACCTTAAACTTACACAATGTAACACGTCAGTTACATCTCGACAAAGCTGGGAAGAAATGAGACCCAGCCCACAGATCCCTTCTGAAAGAAGAGGTCATTCTCTATCTAGTTGTCAGGAGCGTGTGCAGGGGCCGGGGGTCCTGGAGGGAGCTGGGGCGAGCGGAGGGCATTGAAAAAAAGTCGTGTTAAAATGATATACTTGCCCTGGCCGGTTTGGATCAGCGGTTAGAGCGTCCGCCTGCGGTCCGGAGAGGCCCGGATTCGGTTCCCGCTAAGGGCATGTACCTCGGTTGCAGTTTGTCCCCGGCCCTGGTTGGTCGTGCGGGTGGCAGCCACTCGATGTGTCCCTTTCACGTCGATGTTTTCCTCTCTCTCTCTCTCCCTTCCACTCTGTCTGTACAAAAAATGGAAAAATGTCCTCGGATGAGGATTAAAAAAAAAAAATGATATACTTAACATAAGAATTGCCATTGATGACATTAACAGGGTCGTACCGTTATCACTCTGGTTCCAACACACTTTAATTCTTTGACGAGGAAACTCTGGCCCTGGCCAGTGTTGCTCAGTGGTTGGAGCACCGGTCCTCACACTGGAAGGGTCGCAGGTTTGATTCCCGGTCAAGGGCAAGTATCTGGGTTGCAGGTTTATCCCTAGTCCAGCCAGGGCGAGTGTGGGAGGCAACCAACTGATGTGTCTCTCTCACATCGATGTCTCTCTCTCTCTCTCTCTTCCTCCTTCCCTTCCGCACCCTCTAAAAGTCAGTGGGAAAGATGTCCTCCTCTAGTGAGGATTAGAATAAAGAGGACATGTCACACCCATAACACTCACCCCTCAACCTTCCGTACCCTGGCCCTGCCACCTTCTGATGTATGACTGTCTCCAGACACATGTCCTTGTTCTGAACACTCCATATACCTGCACTTGCATAATAGTGGCCTTTTTTATTTTTATTTTATTTTATTTTTTTATCCTCACCCGAGGACATTTTCCCATTTTTTTTTTTTTTGTTCAGGTAGAGTGGGAGGGAGAGAGAGGAACAGAGAGAGAGAGAGGAACATCGATGTGAAAGGACACATCGAGTGGCCGCCACCCGCATGACCAACCAGGGCTGGGGACAAACTGCAACCGAGGTACATGCCCTTAGCGGGAACCGAACCCGGGTCTCTCCGGACCGCAGGTCGACGCTCTAACCGCTGAGCCAAACCGGCCAGGGCAATAGTGGCCTTTTTTAAAAAAGTTTTTTTTCTTTATTAAGTTTAGAGAGAGAGGAAGGGAGAGAGAAAGAGAGAGATAGAAACATAGATGAGAGAGGACATCGATTGGCCGCCTTCACTGGGGACCGGGCCCACAACCTGGGCATGTGCCATGACTGGGGATTGAACCAGCAACCTCTTGGTGATGGGTTGATGCTCAGCCACTGAGCCACACCGGCCGGGCGATAGTGGCCTTTTATGGTTAGTTTCTGTCACTTCAATTCTGGTCACGTGTATCTTCAAAACAATGACGGCGAAAGACATACCAACGCATCCAAATGTCTGATCGCAGTGCCCAGCGCACAGGAAGTGTGGGTTCCCGCAAGGTCCTAGCCTTTGGTCCTTTTCTTCTGTCCTCAGGACTGTGTCTGGGGCAGGGGCTACAAGCTCAGATCGGTGAGTTCGGGTCCCTCCTCCGGGTTCAGCCAGTGTGAGGGCAGGAGGGGTGAGGGCCCAGCTGACCTCCACGACCCTCCGCTTGCCTTTCAGGCCCACTCCCCAAGCCCTCCCTCCAGGCCCTGCCCAGTGCCCTTGTGCCCCTGGAGACGCCAGTGACCATCCGTTGCCGGGGCCCCCCCGGCGTGGACTTGTACCGCCTGGAGAAGCTGAAACCCAGGGACTATAAGGACGAGGATGTCCTCTATATCTCAGCCATGAAACGACACAATGCTGGAGAGTACCGTTGTTCTTACCAGAACGGGAGCCTCTGGTCTCCTGCTAGCGAGCTGCTGGAGCTGGTGGCCACTGGTAACTGGACAGGGCGGGGTGTGGCTGGATGTGCGGCCTCAGGGCTCCATGGCGCTCAGTTCTGGGCTCGAAGAGGGTGAAAATGGGGATGGCGATGAGAGTAAATTCAGTGTTCCTGGGGGCCAGGATTAAGGTGGGGTGAGTAATGTACTAGCCTTGCATGGGGTAGGCAAGGGGCCCCCCCAAAATCAGCTATCAAGATAAATAATATGTTAATGCAATATATATCTATTTTAAAAAAATAGATTTTTATTGATTTTTTTATTGTGGGTTTTTTTTTTTTATCCTCACCCGAGGACATTTTTCCATTTTTTGTACAGTAGAGTGGGAGAGAGAGAGAGGAAGGGAGAGAGAGAGAGAAACATCGACGTGAAGGGACACATCGAGTGGCTGCCACCCGCACGACCAACCAGGGCCGGGGACAAACTGCAACCGAAGTACATGCCCTTAGCGGGAACTGAACCCGGGTCTCTCCGTACCGCAGGCCGATGCTCTAACCGCTGAGCCAAACCGGCCAGGGCTTTATTGATTTTTTTAGAGAGAGCAGAAGGGAGAGAGAGAAACATCAATGTGAGAGAGAAACACTGATCAGCTGCCTCTTGCATGTGCTTGGGCAGGTGCCCTGACCGGGAATTGAACCAGGACCTCAGTCCACGGGATGATGCTTACTCCATTGGGTCACACAGGTTGGGCTGTTAATGCAGTATTTGCCTACAAAATTAAGTGAAACAAGCCAGTCAGAGAAAGACAAGGACCATGTGATTTCACTCCTATATGGACTGTAATAAACAAAATAAACTAACAAGCAAAATAGAAACAGACTCATAGACAGAGAGCAGGCTGACAGCTGTGGGGGTGGGTGGAAGGATTGAGCCCCCCCCCAAAAAAAGAAAAAATGAAAAAAAATCATGGACATGAACAACAGTGTGGTGATTGCCCTGGGGAGGGGGAGGGGGAAGAGGAGGAGGCTACTGGGGGGACAAATGGTGATGGATGGAGACTTGACTTGGGGTGATAAACACACAGTACAGTGTACAGATGATGTGTTGTGGGATTGTGCCCCTAAAACCTGTATAATTTTGTTAACCAGTGTCACCCCCGTAAGTTCAATAAAAAGGGGGGGGAAGAAAGCAAAATTAATGGGACAATATCCACAATGAACAAAACACCACCATTTTATTTATTGTTTATTTTTATCCTCACCTGAGGACATTTTTGCATTTAGCTTTAGATAGAGTGGGAGGGAGAGAAGGAGGAAGAGAGAGAGAGCAACATTGATGTGAGAGAGACACACGAGTAGCTGCCACCCACACGACCCGGGACAAACTGCAACCGAGATGCATGTCCTTAGCAGGAACTGAACCCAGGCCTCTCTGGTATGCCGGCCGACGCTCTAATCGCTGAGCCAGACCGGCCAGGGCTAAACATCACCATTCTAAGTAGTGACAGAATTCTCAGCCATAGCCCGGCCTGAGGCAGGAGGAATGACGAGCACCCCCCATCCACGTGCGTTTTTATTTTATTTTAAATGCATTTTTATTTTGATTTTCTGATGGAATAAAATGTTCTCAACTTAGGTGTCCTTTTCTCACAGATTTTAAATAGTTATTTTCCGAAGTAGATTTTGAAAATATTGTTGATGAGTTTGCTTCCATGAAAAAGGGAGAATCAAATGATAATAAATCCTGTTTAATTTCTTGGTATAAATACACTATTTGGCCCAGCCGGTGTGGTTCAGTTGTTGGGCGCCGACCCCTGCACCAAGAGGTCACTGGTTCAATTCCCAGTCAGGGCACATGCCCAGGTTTGGGCCCAATCCCCAGTGGGGGGCATGCAGGAGGCGGCCAATCGATGTTTTCTCTCATTGATGTTTCTATCTCTCTCTTCCTCTCTCTCTAAAATCAATAAAGGAAAAAAATTATTAAAAAAAATTAACGATTCAAACTTGAAATAAAGTAGTGAGTTTTAGTAACTTACTTTGAGACATTTCAATATCTTTCCCAACATTCTGTTAACTCTAAAACATATGCAGAAATACTTGGAGACTTTGCTTCTGGTTTCAGTGTGACCCCAATTTTGATATATTTTTTTCACCGTGGATGTGTTTGCATTAATTTCCATTTAAGAATTGTATTAACACAGTATTTATCTTGATTATTGAGTTTTTCTCTCACCCTTTCTTTTTCATTTATTTTTTATTTTTATTCCTCACCTGAGGATAGTCTTTCATTTCTGATCAGATAGAGTGGGAGGGAGGGAGAGAGGGGGAGAGAGAGAGACAGAGAGAGAGAGAGAGAGAGAGAGAGAGAGAGAGAGAGAAACAATGATGTGATAGAGCCACATCGACTGGTTGCCTCCCACATGACCTGACCAGGACCAGGAATGAACCACAACCAAGATATCTGCCCCTTGACTGGAATTGAACCTGGACTCATTGGTCCTTGGGCCAAAGCTCCAACCACTGAGCTAAACCGACCAGGGCCACCTGTCCTTTTTTTAAAAAAAATCCTCATCTGAGGATATGTTTTTATTGATTATTTTAGAGAGCAAGGGAGAAGTAGATGGAGAGAGAGAGAAACATTGATGTGACAGAGAAACATCAGTTGATTGCATCCTGCATGCACCCTGACTGGGGATTGAACCCACAACCTGGGTATTTGGTCTGACCAAGAATTGAACCCACAGACTTTTGGTGCATGGGATGATGCCCCACCAATGGAGCCACCCAGCCAGGGAGAAAATTGCACCTGATTTAAATGGCGCTCATCACTTTCTGATGTACTCATGTTTACTTATTTATCTCAGTTATTGTCTATTCTCTCTTCCTGATGAGAATTTTATTTCTGAGCACACTGATGGACATATAAGTGTTGCCAAGGGAAAAAAGAAATCGATAAATAAATAAATGAGCCCTAATTCTCAGGCAGCTTCTGTTGGGAACGGTATGTGCCAGGCAAAGATTGTCATGTTCATGATGATAATTTGATTCCATTATATAGTAGCGTGGGCTCATTTTTAGGAGCAGAGAACCTGGAGCTCATGGCTGTGATTGCAAAGTTTGGTTCTGCCTCCTATCTTATGACCTTGGATCATTTATTCATAGGTCTGTGAGGATTGGATATGTTGATGTGAGTCATGAGCTTGGAACAGCACTTGGAAGCTGGTCTTTGGATACAAAGTAACAATAGAACCATGGGATACTGTGGCACAAACAATAGAAGCTCAAGCTACTTTGTTACAACCATCGTGTTTTAAGTGCTGGCTGTGGATTAGGTACTCCGCTAAGTGAATACATACTGTTTCATTCAGTCATTCCCATTGCAAAGTAGGGAATGCAGAGGCACACAGATAGAAGGAATTTATGTGCAGGCTCGGACAACCCCTAACAGGCAGAATCAGGATCGAAGCCTGGGCGCTATGATATGATTTCAGTCTTGTTCCCTTAAGAACTTTGTGAGCTGGTAGGGAGTGGCCTCCCCAGAATAAATACATGTGGGAAGTTCCTTAGCTTTTAGAGAGGCGGGGGAACCTTCTCACTCCCAGCCGAAACAGTGGTCACTGTCTTGAACATCAGAGTTCTTTTTGTTCTCAGGAGTTTATGAGAAGCCCACGCTCTCAGTCAAGCCCAGACTGGTGGTGTCCCCTGGAGAAGATGTGACTCTACAGTGTCAGAGCAGATATGGTTTTGACCAATATGCTCTGTACAAGAAGGGGGACGCTGGCCCCCACAAGAGGCCACAAGAGACGTGGTACCGGGCCAGTTTCCCCATCATGGTGACGGCTGCCCACAGTGGGTCCTACCAATGCTACAGCTTTTCCAGCAAGTCCCCGTACCTGTGGTCAGCTCCCAGTGACCCCCTGGAGCTTGTGGTCACAGGTAAGGGGGGTGCAGACCAGACTGTTTTCCCTCTGTCTTCCCAGGCTCTGATGTAAGTTCCAAGGGGAAGAACCCATAGGTGCTCACTTTATGTCAGCACCAGAGTGTGTTCTCTCTTAGAAGTCTTTGCCAAGCCCTCTCAGCCCAGCCCAGCTGCATGATTGCACTCCATCCACAGTGTGTTTCTCCTTACACACACACACACACACCCAATATATATATATATTCATATATAAATACTCATATATATACTCATATACATCAATACTCATATATACTCATATATATAAATACTCATACATATACTCATATATATATAAATACTCATATATATACTCATATAAAAATACTCATATATATGCTCATATAAAATACTCATATATACTCATATACACTCATATATTCATATAAATACTCATATATAAAGACTCATATATATACTCATATACATATATCAATACTCATATATACTCATATATAAATACTCATACATATACTCATATATATAAATACTCATATATATAAATACTCATATATATGCTCATATAAAAATACTCATATATACTCATATATACTCATATATATTCATATATAAATACTCATATATAAATACTCATGTATACTCATATATATACTCATATATATAAATATATACTAATTTTTAAATATTCACATATACTCATATATATAAATACTCATATATATACTCATATATATAAATACTCATATACTCATATATATAAATACTCACATATATACTCACATATATAAATACTCACATATATAAATACTCATATATATATATATGAGTAGAGCAAGTAATGTTCAAAGACACATCCAACACAATTATAGTTGTGACCGTGATAACCACTGGGAATTAGAAGCACCTGTTCCACCTCTGCGTCTGACACTCACACAGAATGGCACGCCCACTGTAATGGAATGAAAAGCGATAAGAAGGAAGTACATAGTCCTGTTAGCACCTAGAACGGGAGGCTTGTCCAAGCAGTGTTCCATGTGGACCTTCGAGCAGAGATTCCCAGGTGGGAGCACTGGGTGGCGCTGCCTGCTGGTGGGTGGACTTGTGGTGAGAATGAGGTCAGCTGACAGGTGCAGCGGCACAGCCTGTGTGGGGGCAGGGTGGGCGGGAAATGGGGAGGGGCTGTGTTTTGTTCCTGAGGCACCCCCTTCGTCCCACATGGGTACGTGCCCCTTGATCTCACTGTTCCTGTCACCTCCTCTACCTCTAAGAGCAGGTCTTGCTCCCAGGAACAAAATAAGGGGACAGGTAAAAGGGCAGAAATGGGGTTCACATTGCAGAGACAAGGATAGGGGTTGTCATTACCAATTAGCCCCAGAATGTGCTAGGGGTGCCTTTTTTTTTCTTCTTAAATTAAATTAAAATTTTTTCATCATGCCCTGGCCAGTTTGGCTCAGCGGTTAGAGCGTCGGCCTGCGGTCCGGAGAGACCCGGGTTCGGTTCCCGCTAAGGGCACGTACTTCGGTTGCAGTTTGTCCCCGGCCCTGGTTGGTCGTGCGGGTGGCAGCCACTCGATGTGTCCCTTCACGTCGATGTTTCTCTCTCTCTCTCTCCCTTCCTCTCTCTCCCTCCCACTCTATCTGTACAAAAAATGGAAAAATATCCTCGGGTGAGGATAAGAAAAAAAAATTTTTTTTCATCATTATTTATCTCTCTATATCCTCCTCCACCTCCACCCACCCCCACCATCACCACACTGTTGTCCATGTCCATGACTTCTTTCTCTTTTTTTTTTGTTTGTCTTTTTTGCTCAACCCCTCCACCCCCCAAAACCAGAGCCGTCAACCTGCTCTCTATGTATGAGTCTGTCTCTATTTTCCTTGTTAGTTCAGCTGGTTCATTAGATTCCACGTATGAGTGAAATCACACGGTATGTGTCTTTCCGTGACTGGCTTATTTCACTTAGCACAATGTTCTCCAGGGTAAGGGTGCCTTTCAAATGCTACTTAACATTGAGGTGATGTAAGCTTCATATTCCTTTTCCAGGTGAGGAATCTGGGTGGCAGGGATGTTTTGTCTTTATGCTCGGAATCCACAGCTTACAGGGCACACAATTCCCTCTTTTTCTGCTTTCTCAGGGACCTCTGGGACATCTAGCTTGTTACCCACAGAAGCACCTTCCTCTGCAACAGGTAAGTCCTGAGGGGTTCACCCTGCTGTCTGTGGTGCAAGGCATGGGGACTCCTTGTTCTTCTTCTTTTTAATCCTCACCTGAGGACATTTTTCCATTTTATGTTCAGATAGTGTGTGAGGGAGAGAGAGGAAGAGAAAGATATAGAAACATCGATGAGCCCTGGCCAGTTTGGCTCAGCGGTTAGAGCGTCGGCCTGCGGTCCGGAGAGAACCGGGTTCGGTTCCCGCTAAGGGCACGTACTTCGGTTGCAGGTTGTCCCCGGCCCTGGTTGGTCGTGCGGGTGGCAGCCACTCGATGTGTCCCTTCACGTCGATGTTTCTCACTCTCTCTCCCTTCCTCTCTCTCCCTCCCACTCTATCTGTACAAAAAATGGAAAAAAATCCTTGGGTGAGGATAAAAAAAAAAAAAAAAAAAAGAAACATCGATGAGCGAGAACATTGAGTGGCCGCCTCCTGCACGCCCCCCACTGGGGATCGGGCCCACAACCTGGGTGTGTGCTCTGACTGGGAATTGAACCGGCGACCTCTTGGTGCAGGGGTCGATGCTCAACCACGGAGCCACACCGGCCGAGCAAACCTCTGGTTTCTTTGATTAGTGGTTCTCAAATGTTTGTGGGCTTGAGAATTACCTGTTGGGGGGAGTGTGTGTTTATAAAGAATGTAATAAGGCAAAAGGATTAGCCAAAAAACATATATACATATTCCTTTTCCAGGTGAGGAATCTGGGTGGCAGGGATGTTTTGTCTTTATGCTCGGAATCCACAGCTTACAGGGCACACAATTCCCTCTTTTTCTGCTTTCTCAGGGACCTCTGGGACACCCAGCAGGTCACCCACAGAAGCACCTTCCTCTGCAACAGGTAAGTCCTGAGGGGTTCACCCTGCTGTCTGCGGTACAAGGCATGGAGACTCCTTGTTCTTTTTTTTAATCCTCACCTGAGGACATTTTTCCATTTTTTGTTCAGATAGTGTGTGAGGGAGAGAGAGGAAGAGAAAGATATAGGAACATCGATGAGCGAGAACATTGATTGGCCGCTTCCTGCATGCCCCCCACTGGGGACCTGGCCCACAACCTGGGTATGTGCCCTGACCGGGAATTGAACCGGCGACCTCTTGGTGCAGGGGTCGATGCTCAACCACGGAGCCACACCGGCCGAGCAAACCTCTGGTTTCTTTGATTAGTGGTTCTCAAATGTTTGTGGGCTTGAGAATTACCTGTTGGGGGGAGTGTGTGTTTATAAAGAATGCAATAAGGCAAGAGGATTAGCCAAAAAACATATATACATATTCCTTTTCCAGGTGAGGAATCTGGGTGGCAGGGATGTTTTGTCTTTATGCTCGGAATCCACAGCTTACAGGGCACACAATTCCCTCTTTTTCTGCTTTCTCAGGGACCTCTGGGACACCCAGCAGGTTACCCACAGAAGCACCTTCCTCTGCAACAGGTAAGTCCTGAGGGGTTCACCCTGCTGTCTGCAGTACAAGGCATGGAGACTCCTTGTTCTTCTTCTTTTTAATCCTCACCTGAGGACATTTTTCCATTTTTTGTTCAGATAGTGTGTGAGGGAGAGAGAGGAAGAGAAAGATATAGAAACATCGATGAGTGAGAACATTGAGTGGCCGCCTCCTGCATGCCCCCCACTGGGGATCTGGCCCACAACCTGGGTGTGTGCCCTGACCGGGAATTGAACTGGTGACCTCTTGGTGCAAGGTTGATGCTCAACCACGGAGCCACACCGGCCGGGCAAACCTCTGGTTTCTTTGATTAGTGGTTCTCAAATGTTTGTGGGCTTGAGAATTACCTGTTGAGGAAAGTGTGTGTTTATAAAGAATGCAATAAGGCAAAAGGATTAGCCAAAAAACATATATACATATTCCTTTTCCAGGGAGGAATCTGGGTGGCAGGGATGTTTTGTCTTTATGCTCGGAACCCACAGCTTACAGGGCACACAATTCCCTCTTTTTCTGCTTTCTCAGGGACTTCTGGGACACCCAGCAGGTTACCCACAGAAGCACCTTCCTCTGCAACAGGTAAGTCCTGAGGGGTTCACCCTGCTGTCTGGGGTGCAAGGCATGGGGACTCCTTGTTCTTCTTCTTTTTAATCCTCACCTGAGGACATTTTTTCCATTTTTTGTTCACATAGTGAGAGGGAGAGAGAGGAAGAGAAAGAGAGAGAGAAACATCGATGTGAAAGGGACACATCGAGTGGTTGCCACCCGCACGACCCAACCAGGGCGGGGGACAAACTGCAACCGAGGTACGTGCCCTTAGCGGGAACTGAACCCGGGTCTCTCTGGACCGCAGGCCGACGCTCTAACTGCTGAGCCAAACCGGCCAGGGCTGATTTTCATTTCTAACAAGTCCCCTGGTAAGGCTGTTGCTGGTCTGGGATGTCACCCCGAAGACTAGCACACTGAATTCTGTGGGAGCCACAGGGTTGCCCCAGTTTTAGAGGCTTCTCTTCTGACCTCTGTCTGATGCACCTTTGGGTCCCCAAAGGACATCACATGACTGAGCACCTGGAAAATCTCAGGCAATACTTGTGGAATAAGAGAAGAGCTAGTGTGTGTAGAGTGCTATTTACATGTCAAACACTGTGCCTTATTGTTATTATTTCAAATTTTATTTATTGATTTGATATATAGAGAGAAACATTGATTTGATGTTCCATTTATTTATGTATTCATTGGCTGACTCTTTTTTTTTATTACTTTTTATTTCTCACCCGAGGATATTTTTCCATTTATCTTTGGACAAGTGGGAGGGAGAGAGAGGGAGGGAGAGGGAGAGAAACATCAATGTGAGAGGGACACATTGACTGGCTGTCTCCAGCACAACCCCAACCAGGACCGGGGATGAACTGCAACCGAGGCACGTGCCCTTGACTGGAATCAAACCCATAACTCATTGGTCTGTGGGCTGACACTCTCACCCCTGGGCCAAACTGGCCAGGGCCATTGGCTGACTCTTGCATGTGCCCTGACTGGCGATGAAATCCACAACTTTGGCGTTATCAGGACAACGCTTTAACCAACTGAGTTACCCAGCTAAGGCCATTACTAGTTTACTTTTTACATCGACAGGGAAGAGGCAATTGTTTCAATACCTTGCTATTCCTCTTTTTGATCCCAGAGACTTCTAAGACTACTACCATTGTTATAAAGAATCCAGACCCTACAACTGGTGAGTATGTGGTCCTCTCTGGACCGTCCTTCTCCCCACCCCCTGTATCAAAGCTCACTGTTCTCCCTGTACAGAAGCTATGGCTTTGGGGTCTCGGGTCCTGGTGTATCAAGTATTAAGGGGGGGGGTAATAGTATATAAAGCTCAGAGTTGGGAAGGTTGAGGTCTTCTCGATGATCAGAGAAAGATCAATTCCATCTCTCTCCCCACCCCTTATAATAATCTTTTCTTCCACAGTCAGTGAAATAACCAGGTAGTGTCCGTGCACAGGGCAGGTTGTATCAGAGGCTTGTGAGGGGTGTTCAGAAGATGTTATATTTAGGAAACTGGGCTTATCTAGCCCTGATCCTGGTGAAGAGGGGAGGGACCCTCCAGGAATGGATTGGCATCTTCGCTGGCGGAGAGTAACAGGATCTCAGATGAGAGCTACGAGTATGAGATCTTTCTTTCTTACAGCTGCATAGTATTCCATTGTGTACACGTACCACAGCTTATTTATTTATTTATTTATTTATCTATTTATTTTTTTATCTTCACCCGAGGACATTTTTCCATTTTTTGCACAGATAGAGTGGGAGGGAGAGGAAGAGAGAGAGAGAGAGAGGGAAACATCGATGTGAAAGGGACACATCGAGTGGCTGCCACCCACACGACCAACCAGGGCCGGGGACAAACTGCAACCGAGGTACATGCCCTTAGCGGGAACCGAACCCGGGTCTCTCCGGACCGCAGATGGATGCTCTAACCGCTGAGCCAAACCAGCCAGGGCATCCACAGCTTTTTTTTAATCCACGCATATACTGATGGACACTTGGGCTGTGTCCAGATCTTAGCCATTGTAAATAGTGCTGCTACAAACACGGGGGTACATATATTCTTTCTTATTGGTGTCTCAGGCTTCTTAGGATATATTCCTAGAAGTGGGATCACTGGGTCATAAGAAAGATTTCTTATCCTTTGAGATGACATGGAGGGACCTAGAGAGTATTATGCTAAGCGAAATAAGCCAATCAGGGAAAGACAGATGTCACATCATTTCACTTATTTGTGGAATATAATGAACAAAATAAGCTGATGAACAAAATAGACCCAGAGACATAGAAAGGAGTACGGTTGACATTGACAAACCTCTGAGGAGGGAGGTGGGGGGGGGAAGAAATAAACCAAATAACTTATATGGATATATGCATAACCAATGGACATAGACAACAACGTGGAGAGGCGGGGGGGGGGGGGTTGGGAGAAAGGTGTCAATGGGGAAGAAGGAGAAACATCTGTGACAAAAATAAATGAAAAAAAAAAAAAGGAAAAATCAAGGGAAGATATGACTATGAGAAACCCAAGATGTGGTTTGGAGGGGGTCCCAGAGATGGGTTCTAGTGCCCTGCACCTGTCTCTCTTCATCCCCCAGGTCTCATCCATCAGTCCTACATGAAGGAGAACCTGGCCCGGATATGCCTTGGGGCTGTGATTCTCATGCTGCTGGTGGGGTTCCTGGTGGAAGACTGGCACAGCCGAAAGAAATCCCCGCTGTACCGGCTCAGAGCTGTCCATAGACCGCTCCCACCCCTCCCACCGACCCAGAAAGCACACGGTCGTCAGGATGGGAGTTGACTGTAGAAGCCACTGTGAGAACCTCAAGACTTGGTTGTATCCAAGAGATGAGTCATGAGAGCAGAGAGGGGACTTAGAGTGTGTGTGGGGTATGAGGGCAAGATGGTAGAGGCTACAACTGTGGAAAGGGGGGGTCTTCTTGGTGCTCCAACAAGGAGCTGATGAGTTGGTGTCTATTTGGCTTTCTGCTGAACAACTCCCTCTGTTTGGGACGGAAGGAATTCAGTGGATGCCAAAGTTTCGTCATTGATGTCTACTTAAGGCTCCCTCACTGGTCCATCATGTCCCCCCCCCCCCTTTCTTCAACCTTCTCTCAGATGGGTTCCGGGTGGACTTCTACATTTGGTCTAAATCCATCAATAAAGACCACCTCCTTCACAAATGCTTTCACCTTTATTTTCTTGATACACTCGTGATAAGGGGACATCAAATGATAATGGGATTAAGTGACGTGTGTGTGTGTGTTCTGTGCAGATAGGAGACACCATCAAGGCTGACATGGCATCAGGTCCAGAGACAAAAGTCCCCAAGAGGGCTCACAGGAAGGTCCCCGTCTCCTCAAAGATCCATGCCTTGACTGGAGGGAGGATGAGTAGCTCCAGGGGGATTCAGAAAATAAACTCATGAGAAGAAGGTCTTTTATTTTTGGGCTCTTCATAATCTCCCTCAATAGTCAGTTTTGGGTTGCTCTCTTTGATTTCTTTCAGCAGATTCTGGATTTGGGCATCAGACTGATCTATCTTCAACCTGGTGGTACAATGAGGGGAGTCAATGGTTTCTTGTTGCTTCAGGGAGAGTCATTCCAGACCCCGAAGTGCCCAAAAGTCTCATGCTTTAGGGATTTTTTTTTTTTTTACAGCAGAGACCACCTTTATTTATTAGTCTATATTGCTAAGTAAAATTCCATATTGACTTGATAGGGAAAAAAATATAGTATCAGGTTATCCTCCTAATGCAGTTCTCAACCTGTGGGTTGCGACCCCTTTGGGGGTCCAATGACCCTTTCACAGGGGTCGCCTAAGACCATCGGAAAACACATATTTCTGATGGTCTTAGGAACCAACACACCACTCCTCTATCCGTCTTCAGGAGGGTCCACCCACTTGCAAATACGCCCCCATACAACATGAGGAAATGTATCCAAGGGTCATGGCATTAGGAAGGTTGAGAACCACTGTTAATGGCATAAAGCCACTGTCTAGCTTTGAATGCGTGGATGATCTTGGGTGATTATCGTATGATACTTGGTGTGAGAGATGGAATTGATGAATACACTTGTGACATAGCTCTAATACCTACCTGCTCCATGTCTTACTTTGTCAACTCGTATGACAAGGTAGATCCAAGATGAAACATACAAACTCAACCCAAGTTGGACCAGCTTTTTATCCTCCTGTGGCTACATGATACTACTAATGACCACACTTTCTTTAACCTCTGCTGATAGATAGTGGCCTCATTACTAGGATTCACCTGTTGGTAACTAGAGCCAGCCATGTGTATGAAGTGGGAGGGCACAGGAAATAATGAAACAAAAATGTGTATAAAAATAGAAGACCAAGGCAAGTAGCTGTCATGTTTCTTGTTGGCATGGTAGTCCTGGTTTTGCTAGGATAGGAATCAATTTTTGTTTTGTTGTTTGAGATTCCAATGCATCCGTGTAACCAACTTTTAGTCATAAGGTGGATTAAGTCGGAGGAGCTAATGCACAGTGTGGTGACTGTGGTTAATGATACTGTGGAACCCTGGCTGGTCATGCTCAGTGGTTAGCACATTGGCCCTCAGACTGAAGGGTCTTGGGTTCAATTTCCAGTCAAGGGCACATACCTGAGTTGCAGGTTTGATCCCCAGCCTTGGTCAGGGTCATGTGGGAGGCAACCAATTGATACATCTCTCTCACATCAATGTTTCTCTTTCTATCCCTCTGTCCCTTCCATTCTATCTAAAAAATCAATGGAAACATATCCTCAGGTGAGGATTAACAACAACAAACAATTAAAAACAAAAAATATATATGTAATGTTTCTTCTACATAATTATGATCATTTTAAGATATCAATGATCTATGTCCCATCTGAGAGTTTCAGGAAGTTTCCACACTCTTAGGAAGAATTCTGTGGTTCTTTGTTGCCTCCGCAGTAGGGAAAGAACAGAACTCAATGTCAACCGGCTTTGAGGAGCAAGCAGATGAGGACAGTTAGTGATTGCTTCTCCTATCACCGGCCACGCTCACCAGACAGCAGATTTACATCAGAGAACATACCTCTAGGGCTGATGTTGACCCTCTAGACTTCTGTGACTGATACAGCCCCCAACATACCCTTTCTGAAAGCATGGCATGAGAACACTGGCTGGCCACCATCCCTGCCCTTCACTTAGGGAAGTCCTAAGTCCAGCTTCTTGACTACAGGTTGCGTTTTGGTCTTATCTTTTTTATTATTTATTGATTAAAGAGAGAGAGAGAGAGAGAGAGAGAGAGTGGGGGAGTGGGGGAGTGGGGGAGAGAGAGAGAGAAACATTGATTTGTTGTTCCACTTATTGATGCATTCATTGGTTGATTCTTTTTGAATATTTTTTTTCTTTACCTAATTTAGAGAGAGAGGAAGGGAGAGAGAGATAAAAACATTGATGAGAAAGGACATCGACGGGCTGCCTCCTGCATGCCCCTCACTGGGGATCTGGCCCACAACCTGGGCATATGCCCTGATCGAGAATTGAACTGGTGACCCCTTGGTGCATGGGTTGACGCTCAAACACTGAGCCACACTGGCTGGGCCATTGGTTGATTCCTTTTTTTTTTTTTTTTTTTTTAAATTCTCACCTGAGGATACTGTTTACCATTGTATCTTCATATAGAGTGGGAGAGAGAGATAGATAGATAGATAGATAGAGAGAGAGAGAGAGAGAGAGAGAGAGAAACATGTATGTGAGAAACACATTGACTGGTTGCCTCCCACATGATCCCTGATAAGGGCTGGGACCAATCTACAACCGAAGCACGTGCCCTTGACTGGAATTGAACCCGTGACTCTTTGGTCTGCCGGCCGACGCTCCACCGCTGAGCCTAACCGGCCAGGCCCGTTGGTTGATTTTTGCATGTGCCCTGATCGGGGATTGAACCCACAACATTGACGTATTGGGATAATACTCTAACCAACTGAGCTACCTGGCCATGGCTGGTAGTATCTTTTGACTCATCTTATCTACCAAAGCAACAAGAGGAATGGACAGACGAGTTATCCGGTGACTGAACATCGATGGATAAAAACTGAATGTCAGCAACAGACGCACCTATGAGAAATCCTGTCCTTGGTGTCTCCTCTGAAATCTACAGTCATGGAGCAAACCCTGCTGGTGGGGCGTAGGAGGATCGTACCTGAGTTTCTGGAGAGAGCAACTTTGAAGCTTCAGGGCATCACACAGCATCTTTACTCCGCTGGACTCCAGGGGATTCTGGCCCAGGTCCAGAGTGACGAGGCTTTTGTTACTGCTGAGGGCAGATGACAGGTCTTCACAACTGGCAGGGGTGATCGCACACCCCCATAACCTGTAGGTGGAACACAAACATTCATTCGTGTGTGCGTTTGTTCCTCACTCACTCACTCGTTCACTCACTCACTCGTTCACTCATTCATTCATTCACCCATCACTCACTCACTCACTCACTTGTTCACTCACTCACTCGTTCACTCACTCACTCGTTTACTCATTCATTCATTCACCCATCACTCACTCACTCACTTGTTCACTCACTCACTCGTTCACTCACTCACTCATTTACTCATTCATTCATTCACCCATCACTCACTCACTCACTCACTCACTCGTTCACTCACTCAATGCTTACTGGCACCAGCTTACATGCCAGGCACGCTCTCAGGTGTTGGAGATCCAACAGTGAACCACCCGAGTCTCTTCCCTCAGAGTTTGGTAATAGGAAACAGAGCAATGAATACAGTGTGTCACATACTAGTTCAATATAGAGGAGGGCTATGAAGCACAAAGGGTAAAGGGAGAAGCTGGGGTTCCTCACTACAATGGTTGAAGAAGACCTGAGTGGGTGAAGAGGATGAGCCATACAGAGAGCTGGAGTGGGAGCCCTCCAGGCAGAGCAACAGCTTGTGCAAAGGTCCTGAGGTTGCATATGATTAGCATGTCAAACAACATCAAGGTAGCCATCTTGACAGTGAGCCAGGGAGGGTTGTCAATGGTCATAGATAAGAGAGGGCCAGCTTGAATGAAGCCCTTTGGTCATTGTAAACTTAGCATTTTATTTGGAAGGAGGGTGTTGATCAGAAAGGTGATAAATTACACGTTAGAAGTTAGTCTAATGCTTGGTTGAAAAATTAGGAAAACAAAGAAGGCAGAATACAGATTGCTTTGAAGGCTCTACAACAACCCACATGTTACTAGTATGTGTGTAGGGGTGGAGAACAGACCTAGATATCTGGAAGGGGGTAACATGAGTTGAACAAGGATTAGACTTGATATTTGAAAGGAAAAAGGAATAAAAGATGACACATGAAGGATTTTGTTTTGAGTAAACAAAACAATGTTAAATATTAAAAAAAAAATTATGGATTCAGGAGAGAGGAAGAGGTGGGGGGGGAGAGAGAGAGAGAGAGAAAGAGAGAAAGAAACATCGATTTGTTGTTCCACTCATTCAAACATTTGTTGGTTGTTTTTTGTATGTGCCCTGACTGGGGACTAAACTTATCACCTTGGTACGTCTGGACAACACTCTAATCAATGGAGCTACCCAGCCAGGGCTATTCTAGAAGATTTTACAAATACTGAATTTTACATACTCTAACCTTTTTTGTTAGAGTTGGTAGGGGAATGACGTGCTACACTGATGTTTCATTTCAGATACAGATTAAAGAAACATAATTACCACAGGCAGCTTAGTTTACACGGTGGTTGCTTCAAAGCCTCACACAGAAACTTCATCCCGGTAATTCCAATGTGGTTCAGCCCCAGATCCAAGCGTGTAAGGTTGGAGTTTTGATGGAGAAGCATCGAGAGCTTAATGCAGCCGTCGCAGGTAATGTTGCAGTGGAATAGCCTGGAAGTCAATCACATGAAGGAGAGCGAAACCTCGGTTAGTCAGTTTATTCTATCATCTATCTATCTATCTATCTATCTATCTATCTATCTATCTATCATCTATCTATCTATCTATCTATCATCTATCTATCTATCATCTATCTATCTATCTATCATCTATCTATCATCTATCTATCTATCTTCCATCTCTCCATCCATATATCATCCATCCATCACCCATCTCTCCATCCATCCACCCCTCTCTCCATCCATCCACCCCTCTCTCCATCTATTTATTTCATTGGTTTAAAAAATTTTGGACTATTTTATGTGTCCCCATTTTTCCCCATTGCCCCCCTTCACCCAGCTCCCATCACCCCTCCCTCTGGCCCCCACCACACTGTTGTCTGTGTCCATAGCCTATGCATATATGTTTTTTTTTTTTTTTTAATCCTCACCCGAGGATATTTTTCCATTTTTTGTACAGAAAGAGTGGGAGGGAGAGAGAGGAAGGGAGAGAGAGAGAGAAACATCGACGTGAAGGGACACATCGAGTGGCTGCCTCCCGCACGACCAACCAGGGCTGGGGACAAACTGCAACCGAAGTACGTGCCCTTAGTGGGAACCGAACCCGGGTCTCTCCAGACCACAGGCCGACACTCTAACCGCTGAGCCAAACTGGCCAGGGCGCATATATGTTCTTTGGCTAATCCCTTCACCTTCTTTCATCCAGTCCCCCCATCCCCCTCCCCTCTGACATCTGTCACTCTGTTCCAGGTATCCATGCTTCTGTTTCTATTTTGTTCATTAGATTCCACTATAAGTGAGAGCATATGGTACTTGTATTTCTCTGATTGGCTTATTTTGCTCAGCATAATGCTCTCCAGGTCCATCCATGCTGTTGCAAAGGGTAAGAGTTCCTTCTTTTTCACAGCTGTGTAGTACTCCATTGTGCAAATGTACCACAGCTTTTTTATCCACTTCTTTACTGCTCTTTTCAGAGGAATGGATACATGGGACAGACTGACAGAGGTCGGAGGGGAGAGAGGGTGGGAGGCACTGGATGAAAGAAGGTGAAGGGATTAGCCAAAGAACGTATATGCACAGCCCATGGACACAGGCAACAGTGTGGTGCTGGCCAGAGGGAGGGGGGCGGGGCTGGGTGAAGTTGGGTAAAGGGGTGGGGAATGTCTATAAGTGTCAATAATAAAAAGTTTTCTTTCACCCAGTGAAGGATTTTGTTTTAATATAATAAGCATACGATGAACAACAACAATAACAACACCTCTGTCAGTTCTCACTGGTGTGATGTACCCAAACCATGATCGACGACCTCAAGCCATGGGTTTAGACAGTGGACACATGGACATGAAATCGTGGGGCAGTGGGACAGACAGAATGACGCTCCCTTCTCCCCACCAAAGACGTCTACATCTTAATCTCTGGTCTCTACACATATATGTTACATCCACGAAAGGGGACCTTGTCGACAGGATGAGTTAAGGATCTTGAGATCCAGCAATTATCCAGGAACACCCAATGGAATCACAGGATCCTTGTGAGAAGGAGGAAGTACAGTCCAAACTGGAGGGAGAGATGTGATGAGGAAGACAGAAGGGTATTTGGAGACACTCTCTACTGGCTTTGAAGACAGAAGAAGGGGCCATAAGCTGAGGAATGTGGGGGCCTGTAGAAGCTGGAAAAGTTAAGGATACGGGTTCTCCCCTTGAGCCTCAAGGAGTGCAGCCCTGCCTACACCTGGATTTTAGCCCAGTGAGCACTCCAAAACTCTGAGAGCCCAAATTTGTGTTTTTCCAAGCTTCTTCGTTCAGGATAATTTGTCACAGAAGCAATGAGAAACCAAGACAGCTGGTCTATATTATTTCTACTCTAACCACGGGGTAGATAATTTCCATCTGAACTTGGTCCGCCACCTTCTCTTGGGGTAGTGCCCAATTATTCCTAAATCTAGTTACTAGAAGAGTAGTTTCTTTTAAAAATATGTTTCTAGCCCTGGCCAGTTTGGCTCAGCGGTTAGAGTGTCGGCCTGTGGTCCAGAGAGACCCGGGTTCGGTTCCCGCTAAGGGCACGTACCTCAGTTGCAGTTTGTCCCCGGCCCTGGTTGGTCGTGTGGGTGGCAGCCACTTGTGTCCCTTTTACATCGATATTTCTCTCTCTCTCTTCCTCTCCCTTTCTCCCACTCTATCTAAACAAAAAATGAAAAAATGTCCTCGAGTGAGGATAAAAAAATATGTTTCAATTATTTCCCGGCCTTTGGCTAAGATCAAGTATACTATTAAATTTTTTTTAGGGAGAGAGAGGAAGGAGGGGCGGAGAGAGAGAGAGAGAGAGAGAGAGAGAGAGAGAGAGAGAGAGAGAGAAACATCTATATGAGAGAGAAACAAGAAACATCTATATGAGAGAGAAACATTGGTGGGCTGTCTCCTGCAAGCCCCCTACTGGGGATACAGCCTGAAACCCAGGCATGTGCCCTACTCAGAATTAAACCAGCCACCTTTGGTCCATGGGATGACACCCAACCAACTAAACCACACCAGCCAGGGCTAGAAACGTAGCATCTTAGATGTGGAGGGCACCAGCTCTGAGCTGAACATATCTGGTACTAGATCCTAGCTTTCAGTTATCTAACTACACAGAATATCAGTGGTATTTCACCTTAACTGTTTTATTTTTTAATATTTTAACATTTATTGGTGTGTGTGTGTGCATGTGAGAGAGAGAGAGAGAGAGAGAGAGAGAGAGAGAGAGAGAGAGAGAGATCATTTTGTTGATCCACTTGTTTATGCATTCATTGGTTGACTCTTGTATGTGCTCTGACCGGGCATTGAGCCCAAAACCTTGGAGTATCAGGACGATGCGCTAACTAACTGAGCTACCTGGTTAGGGCCAAAATTGATAAGGCCTAATGTCTAAGTCTCAGTTTCCTCATCTGCACAGAGGAAGAGATAAGGCTAGGAGCACTGGATAAAATCATCTCTGGCAAACCTTGTTTTTCTGTTTCGATGCCTTGGATGATGGCAACTTCTAGCACAATTTGATTTGCAGAGAGGGCTAGTGGGTGGGTAGCATCTTATTCCCTATGGAACTTCATATTAGTATAGTGTTTGGGGGCTTAGCTTATAGGGGAAAATTCTTTTTATCTCTTTCCAACTGTAAACTAAATACTACATGGAATTATAAGGGAGTGCATAGTTACCAGGTTGGGGGGTGGGGGTGGGGGTTAAGGCATAGCTGAGATCAAACTTAGGAAAAGTTGACAAGTTACTAACTATTGGAGGTGGTTTCATAGATAACAAGAACAACAGAGATGTTAAAACTGAACAAAACCTCCAAATAGAAACAGTGCAGCCCCATTTCCATCTAAAAATTTGTCCTATGATATTAGTATTTATAGGAGCAGTATATCGAGTTTGTTGGTCAATAACACTATCTATATCCAACTGCAGGTATAGTTTATGTTATGTAGTTCTAAGAATACACATAAAAAAATAAAACTTAGCCCTGGCCGGTTTGGCTCAGCGGTTAGAGCATCGGCCTGCGGTCCGGAGAGACCCGGGTTCGGTTCCCGCTAAGGGCATGTACCTTGGTTGCAGTTTGTCTCCGGCCCTGGTCGGTCGTGCGGGTGGCAGCCGCTCGATGTGTCCCTTTCACGTCGATGTTTCTCTCTCTCTCTCTCTTCCTCTTCCTCCCTCTCTATCTGTACAAAAAATGGAAAAGTGTCCTCGGGTGAGGATAAAAAAAAAATTAAAAAAAAAAATAAAACTTAGAAGTCAGCTACATCTTCCAAATTCCTATAGAAATATTAATAACACTTGTATTTCATTTTTTTTTTTTGCTATCACTCTCTCCCAAGGTCTTACCAGATCGAACCATCCGCAACATACTTGGGGTATTCAGAAAAATGATTCATTCCTACTGGAATGCAGCACACTCACACACGCACACGCACACACACGCATGCACACACATGCATGCACACGCGCACACACACACAGAGCCAGTGGGACTTACACCAGGGTCTGCAGTTGACTTTCAGGGTAGCTCAAGCCCTCACACAGAAGTTTTACCCCCTGATCCCCAAGGTTGTTCTTGGCCAAGCACAGGTGCGTCAGCCTCGGGTTGACGATCAACGCAGAAGACAGCTCCTTGCAGTAAGCTCCTGTAAGTTGACAGTTTTCCAACCTGCAGAAGGAGCACACCCCTGGTAAGATGGTGAGAACATCCCCACAGCAGCCCGGCCCTCTCAGCTGAGTGCTTTTCTTCTTCGCCTTCTCTCGATGATCGCGCACGGGTTAGTGACCACATTCGCGAAGGAACAGGAGCGAGGGGAGTGAGGTGCACGAGAACCAAGTGTCTACATCAGCAGGCTGCCCAGAGAGTATGGGTATCACCGTCGCTCTTCTCCACGTGGTCCCAGATCGAAACACAAAGACGCCCCAGGGAAAAGAGACACTTACGATAACCGTTGAAGAAAGCACCTGGGGTGTCTCAGAGTCAGGTACAGCCGCTTGGCTCCTTCATCTTGGAGCTCATTTCCCGTGAGGTTCAAGCACATGAGGGACTGGCTGAATCGGAGGGAGGAGGAGAAGTCAGCCCACTGCTGGGTGGTGGCGGAACAAGATCCCAACCTGTAGGAGACACGGGAGGAAGTCACCCTTGAGAACCAGACCCTGGACCACTGTTTCATCCCTCACTTTTCTCCGTTATTCGACACCCTGGACTACACGGTTTGGAGTGGTGGCTGTCAAAGTGGGGTTCCCTGGACCACCTGCATCACCACTTTTTGGCAACCAGCTAGAAATGCAAATCTCCAGAAACCCTGGGCGCGGAGTCCTGAAATCAATGTTTTCAGGAATCCTACAATCACCTGGAAGGTGAGTTAAAAGAAAGTCTAGGGTCACATACCCAGAATCTGATTGAGAAGATCTATGTAAGACTCAAGAATTTGGATTTTAAGAAGTTTCTGATTGGCCCTGGTTTGGTAGCTCAGTTGGTCAGAGCATTATCCTGATATGCAAGATTGCAGGTTCACACAAGAATCAACCAATGAATGAATAAATAAGTGGAACATTAAATTGATCTCTCTCTAATTCCTCTCTCTAACAAATCAATTAAACAAAAAGTTTCTAGGGGATGTTCTTACTGTTGGTCTGGAGATCACATGTGGAGGACAAATTACTTAGAAATATAGTCAATTAAGCATATCATGTAACATTTGATCCTGGGTGACTGGGAATTCTTATTATGGGGCAATGAGATTTCATTGGAATATTACATGTATCTCATGGCCTTTAGGGTGAGGTTTCTAAAAATCCTCGTTCTGCCCTGGCCAGTTTTGCTCAGCAGTTAGAGCGTTAGCCTGCGATCCAGAGAGACCTGGTTTCAGTTCCCGCTAAGGGCATGTACCTCGGTTGCAGTTTGTCCTCGGCCCTGGTTGGGTCGTGCGGGTGGCAGCCACTCGATGTGTCCCTTTCACGTCGATGTTTCTCTCTCTCTCTTTCTCTTCCTCTCTCTCCCTCTCACTCTATGTGAACAAAAAATGGAAAAATGTCCTCGGGTGAGGATTAAAAAAATAAATAAATAAAAATAAAAATCCTGGTTCTTCCATTGGCTACGTATGAAAACGTGGTCTGGTTACTTAAATTTATCTTTACGTCGGGAATAAGTCCTAACTTCACATGAAAATTCACACAAAGTATGTGCCTAGTGGGATATTTGCCACATAGCTAAAATTTACTAAAACTCAGTGAAAACACTTTCCTCTCTAAGTCTCAGCTATAGGAGAGGAAGCCAAGTCAGCTTGGGAATTGGAAGACAAAATCGAATCCTGATCGCTTCCGCCCAAACAAGCCAAACGCATATGGAGTCTCCTTCCATTTGGGGGTGTCCATTTAGTCACTGAGAAACAAATCAGTGACCCCCAAATCTTGAAAGGACACAAGGTATTTTCCTGGTGGATCCTCACAGGGGAGAGAAACGAAAGCCATTAGAATGACTCGTGATGACAGCACCTACTCTGAATGTGTATGTGGTCGGAAGTGGTTTCATTCAATCCTCAAGTCCGTGTGAGATGGGCATTATTCTATTCTACCGAGGGGGAGAAGACCTCGTTGAATAGCCCTAGATTCTATCCGTAGAAGGAGAGCCATCATTTGACACCAACAGATCACGTTCAACTGTTTTCTCTTACTATTCACGTGTGGTGACGTGAGGACCAGTGGACCCCGATGATGAGTGATAACCATCATTATGGAGCAACCACATGGCGAACTTCCCAAGGGGAGGTCCCTCAGACCAGGAAGGGGAGCCCCTGGTCCTTTGCTAGAAACAGAAGGCCCGTAGCTGGTATTCTGAATCATGCCGCAGGAGAGACATGAACCATAAACAAATGATCTCTGGTTGAGGACGGTAACGCTACATTACCTGGGAGTTTGTTTCGGACTCAGAGCTATGACACACAGTTGTCCAGCGATAACACAAGTAGAAACTGAACTCCAGCCCGTCTGCTATTCTGGGACGTGTACCCTGAGTGGCAACATTGCCAGTCAGAAGGAGATATTCCCTCCCACCCTAATTTACGCAGAATTGCTGAATAGGCGTGCGGCAGCTGTCTTCACAGGCCAAGGGTTCACAGCGACGGTGAGATCTACCTGAGATACTGCAGATTACACTTCGGGTGCTTTAAGACCTCACACAGTATGGGAAGCATATTCTTCTGATCACTTCCTTGAAGGGTCAGGTGCGTGAGGGACTCAAAACCACCAAAAACGGCGCAGAAATTTCGGTAAGCATCAGCTGGGGAAATATCCTTGAGACTAGGGCAGAGAAAGCAAAGGTTAACGAGTGTCTATGTACACTACCTAGACACAAAAACAAAAGGATACAGTATATTTAAACATCAGAAACTATTTTTAAAAATATTTTCACCTTTATTGAAGAATCAGCAGCAAATACAAATTGTATATATTTGCTCAGCCGGTGTGGCTCAGTGGTTGAGCAGGGACCCATGCACCAAGAAGTCACCAGTTTGATTCCCGATCAGGGCACATGCCCAGGTTGTGGGTCTGATCCCCAGTGGGGGGCATGCAGGGGGCAGCCGATTGATGTTCTCTCTCATCGATGTTTCCATCTCTCCCTCTCCCTTCCTCTCTCTCTAATATCAATAAAGAAAAAAAATGTATATATTTACGGTATACGACAATGTTTCGATATGCATGTACCTGGTGAGGTGAGGTCATCACCACAATCAAGCTATTGGCATACCCATCCCCTCTCTTAGTCACTGTTCCCTTTCTTTATTTTGTGGTGAGAACACTTAGGGCCCAATCTCTCGTTAGGTCTCCAGGATTTATTCGTCTCACATATCTGAAACTTTGTACCCCTGACGAACATCTCATTTTAGAAACTATTAGAAGCTCCAATTTCTTTCTTTTTCTGTGAGGCTATTTTTCATTGATTCTAGAGAGAGAGAGAGAGAGGAAGGGAGATGGAGAGAAACATCTATATGAGAAACATCTATCAGCTGCTTCCTGTCTGCTCCCGGACTGGGGATCAAACCCACAACCTGGGTATGTGCCTTGACTGGGAATCGAACCTGTGACCCTTCAGTGCATGGGATGATGTTCCACCAACTGAGCCACCCGGCCAGGGCCTGTGGTTGTCATACTAGGATCGAAACTGCCATCATACTCTTGATGTTCCTTGTGGTGTTTTGTTCAACTATGTTTCGCATTTTGTTAAAATTACTTTGTAAAGAAGTAGAATGGTGTTGCCAGGGGTTGGGGAGTAGGGGTGGTAGAGAGTTATGATTTAATAGGCACAAAGTTTGGCCCTGGTTGGGTAGCTCAGTTAGTTAGAACATCGTCTTGATACGCCAAGGTTGTGGGTTTGATTCCCAGATAGGGCACATACAAAAAGCAATTAATGGCCCTGGCCAGTGTTTCTTGGCGGTTAGAGCGTTGGCCATGCACTGGAGGGTTGAGGGTTTGATTCCCAGTCAAGGGCAGGTACCTAGGTTGTAGGTTTGATCCCTGGTCCTGGTTGGAGCATGGGCAGGAGACAACCAATCGATGTGTCTCTCACATTGATGTTTCTCTCTCCCTTCCTCCCTTTCACTCTCTAAAGAATTAACGGAAAAATATCCTTGGGTGAGGACAAACAACAACAAAAGAATGAACCTATGAGTGCACAGATACGTGGAACAACAAACCAATCTCTCTCTCTCAACATCAATACACGAAATGAGTACAAAGTTTGAGATTCACAAGAGGAGAAGTGTTGTGGAGACTTATGGTGGTGATGGCCACACACTATAAACATACTGAACGCCAGCAAACGGCACTCCTGGAGATGGTTAAGGTGGTTAGTTTGATGTCATGCACATTTTGCCACAAGAAAACTGGGAAAAATTACTTTATATGATTCAGTAGACACATTGAGGGACCAAACCACCTCCATGTCTTGTGTCTTGAGTACTTGGTTGGAGTCAGGGACAAGAATGCAAAGACTGCTCCAAAAGCTCGGTCATGCCCTCAGGGTTTGTAATCCTGGGCGTAGCTCCTACTTACACCATGTGCTGGAGGTGGCGGGGGGCAGAGGCTATCTTTTCGCAGAGAATCCTAACTGCGGAGGTACTGAGAAAGCTGTGACTGATGTCCAGAAATATCAGGTTCTGGTTTGAGCTTAACATAGAGCAAAGTTCTACCCAGAATGGAAACGCCTGCTGATCACGCTGGGACCTACGGGGAAGAGAGACAGGAGGGGATTTACCACAGACTGTGGGAGAGAAAGCTCACATTTGTAAGTCACCGGGAGGGTTATTAGGGTTGCTCTGGGCACATGCCCTTAGTAAATAAGTACAACTCTAAAAGTTGGAGGAGGGCCCAGCTGGTGTGGCTCAGTGGCTGAGCATTGACTCTGCACCAAGAGGTCACCGGTTTGATTCCCGGTCAGGGCACATGCCCAGGTTGTGGGCCCGATCCCCAGTGGAGGGCGTGCAGGAGGTGGCCAATCGATGTGTGTGGCTCAGTGGCTGAGCATTGACTCTGCACCAAGTGGTCGCCGGTTTGATTCCCGGTCAGGGCACATGCCCAGGTTGTGGGCCCGATCCCCAGTGGAGGGCGTGCAGGAGGCGGCCAATTAATGTTCTCTCTCATCTATGTTTCTATCTCTCCCTCTCCTTTCCTCTCTCTCTCAAATCAATAAAGAAAAAAAAAATTAAAATCAATATAAACATGTCCTAAAGTGGAGTGGAGCAATGGGGGAAAAGTGGGGGACATCTGTAATACTTTCAACAATGAATAAAAAAAAATTTGCTCAGTTGAAGGAAGGTCCCCAAACAAGGTCTGGTTCCAAAGCCCCTATTCCTGATCTAAACATCATGGGATCCACCTTGAGTGGTGATCCGGCGGGAAGAGATTCCAACAGGAAGAAAATACTGCCCTTGAGCCTCAGGGGGCCGGAGACCGCCCTCCCCCAGGAGCACGGATGAGGCTCAAGGCGGGAAAAGGAGTCGAGCAGGGGAGGAGAGTTCTTACCTCTCCACCCACGTGTCTGGTTCGGAGGCACCCTCGTTCTCCAGGAAAACCCCCTTCTCCACCTGCAGGGACACTCTCCGCAAGTCCCCACAGTGCTTGAAGCAGAAGGCGCACTGCGCCAGGTCCACCGGGCTCTGCAGGTGCAGGGACACCTCCCGGACGTGCCCCGCGGCCTCCTTCACCAGCGACTCCTCCTGGGACTCGTAGAGACAGGACACCGCCTCCTTCACGTCTGTCCTGCAGGAGAAGGGCCCGTGCCCGCCGGACAGGCCTTTCAGGAGTTCCTGCCTGAGCCCCAGGGACACGCGGACGCCGAACGTGGCCTCCAGCTCCCGGGCTCGCTCCTCGTTGGCGAGGCCGAACAAGAAGTGGCCCACGGGCGTCAGGTCGGGGTTCTTCAGCCTCTCCTCCTTGGAGAGCAGCGCCTGCACGTCCCCAGTGTCCCCCTGCCGCCGTCCCCGGCTGCCCGCTCCCCGCTGTCCAGCGCGTAGAACACGGCGGCCAGAAACTGCTGGACGCTGAGGTGGAGGAAGACATAGCAGCCCTCACAGTCGGTGTCCACCTGCAGGAGGTTCTTGTCCAGGAAGGGGCGCAGGTCAGACTCCTGGACGCCGAGTCTCCCGAGGTCTCCTCGGTCGAACGCGGACGTCTGCGTCCAGACGCCCTCGGCAGCCAGGACACACAGGGCCCGCAGGGGCGCGGGGAGGTGCTGCGGGGCGCTGCGCCCGGGGCCCGGCGGGAACTGGCCGCACAGGAAACGCAGGAACAGGGAGGTGGCGGTCCGGCAGGTCAGCGCGGGGTCCGCCCCCTCGTCCATCCGCAGTTTCAGACACGTGCACACGACCCAGCACACGGCGGGGGCCGAGCCCAGGCGGAGCAAGGCTGGGTTGCCCCGCATCGCCTCGAAAGCGCGCAGGGCTTGGCCTTCCTCCTCGAAGTGCTGCAGGAAATACTCCCTCCTGTCCTGCTCCAACAGCCCCTCCACCTCGATGAACACGGGCTGATGCACCAACAGGCGGAGCTGTCTCAGGGCGCCTGGGCGCGTGGTGACCAGCAACGTGGCCTTGGGCAACAGCTTTCTCATCAGCAAACTGCCCAGCAGGACGGGCGCCGGCTTCTGCTGCTCCCAGTCGCCACAGATGTCGTGGAGGAGTGACCCCGAGGGGACTCTCAGCTCATCGAAGCCGTCGATGACAAACAGGAGTTTCTGCTCTTGGGCTAGACCCTCGGGCCCGGCTTGCTGCACCTCTGGGCGCTGCTTAGAGATCAGCTCTGCAAAAGTGCACGGCCCCTGGCGACGGAGCTCCTTGCAGCTGAGATAGAGAGTGGAAATGAGTGACTCCGAGCACGTGTCCTGGGTCCAGTCCAGCATCCACTTCTTGGCCAGCGTGGTTTTCCCCACGCCGGCGGGGCCATGCAGGACCACCGTGTGTGGGAACGGCCCTGGGAGCATTTTCGGATCACGGAAGGGGACAAACTTCTCATATCTCTGGGTGAACTTATGGACATCTTCAGTGGCTCCAGGCCAAATGTTTGTCTTGCAGATTTGCCCAAATGTCTTTCATGCAGGGCTGTGTGTACCTTGTTTGCCTTCAGTAGCATGAGGTAGGAGAGAGACAGGATATCGCTGGTTAATCACTAGGAAAAAAGGACTTGGTGTGAAGTAAGGAAGAAAAACCCAAAACCCAAAACAAATGGAGAAGTTAGGTTTCCAAAGAGCCACCTGCCACCAAGCCCAACTCGTGGAAGGTATGAGGCTGACCTGGCTTCTCTCCTTCCAATCTTTCTGTTACTTCTTCTTGGTGTGTGACACTCTCTCCCTGCACTTGTGTGAGCTCTTGAAAATAGAAATCAAAGTGACCTTGACACACAACAGGTGTCCTCTATACACAATAGAATACTACACAGCCAGGAAAAAGAAGGAAATCTTGCCACTGGCGACAACATGGATGGACCTAGATGGTACTATGCTCAGGGAAGTAAGTCAGACAGAGAAAGACAAGTACCATATGATTTTACTTACATGCAGAATCTAAAAAACAAAACAATAAAAGCCCCCAGAGAAACGAACAAACAGAACAAAAACGGAGTCATAGATAGAATAAGCTGATGGTCAACAAAGGGTAGGGGAGTTGGGGAGCTGGGTGAAAAAGATGTGGTTAACATGAGTAACATTTATGATGCATAGATTGTACTTCATTGAAGCCATTCATGAGGTATCACCTCACACCTGCACCAGAATGGCTGCCATCAACACATCATCAAACAACAAGTGCTGGCGAGGGTGTGGAGAAAAGGGGACTCTAGTACACTGCTGGTGGGAATGCAGACTGGTGCAGCCACTATGGAAAACAGTACAGTGTTTCCTCAAAAAATTAAAAATTGAGTTGACCCAGTGATCCCACTTCTAGGAATATATCCTAAGAAGCCTGAAACACCAATCAGAAGGAATATATGTACCCCCATGTTCATAGCAGCACTATTTACAATAGCTAAGATCTGGAAACAGCCCAAGTGCCCATCAATAGATGAGTGGATAAAAAAGCTGTGATACAGCCCTGGCCGGTTTGGCTCGGCTGTTGGAGCATCGGCCCACAGACCAGAGAGTCCCGGGTTCGGTTCCCGCGAAGGGCACATACCTCGGTTTCAGTTTGTCCCAGGCTCTGGTTGGGTCGTATGGGTGGTGACCACTTGATGTGTCTCTCTCACATAGATGTTTCTCTCTCTCTCTTCCTCCCTCTCTCCCTCCTGCTCTTTCCGAAGATAAATGCAAAAGTGCCCTCGGATGAGGGGGGAAAAAAAAGCTATGGTACATATATATAATGAAATACTATGCAGCTGCTAGAAAGATCTCTTATCCTTTGAGTCAACATGGAGGCACCTTGGGAGTATTATGCTAAGCAAAGTAAGTCTATCAGAGAAAGACAAATACCACATAATCTCACTTATTTGTAGAATATAATGAACAAGGTGGGCTGATGAACAAAATAGACCCGGAGACATAGAAAGGAGTATGGTTCAGACTGACAGACCTCAGAGCTGGGGGGGCGGGAGGAATGAATAAGGTGAACCAAAGAACTTATATGCATGTATGCATAACCAATGGACATAGACAACAATGCTAAGGGGGTGGGGGACAGAATAGGGAGGAGGGTGTCTAGGGGGCAAAAAAGAGAAACATCTGTAACAAAAATAAATTAATAAAAATTGGGGGAAAAAAAAAGCCATTCAAAACCACCACCAGGAGGCCTTGAGAGAACCACTGATGTTACGTAGACCAGCTGGGGCAAGTTTTTGCCCCCATAGCCCAGTGAGGGTCTCAGTGGGATGTAATTAAAGTGGGGCATTTTCAAGTGCAAACATCTAAGAGAAGCTCTCTCCGACACACTCCTAATTTTGTAGGAAGCGAACTCTAATTCTTTCTGATGTTCATTTCCCTCTTTTAAGGAGGAGATGCCTCCGAGAGATAATTGGTGACTCCATATAGTGGAGAAAAAGAGGTTGGGGCTGCCCTTAGCTTGTTCCAACACGGGACGTTCTAAGACCAACCTGTCGCTTTTCCTTCTCCTTCTGAATGCGGTTGTATTTCTGCTGGGTTTGCACACTGAGGTTCCCGAGTCCGTGTTATCCCTGAAGAAAAGAGGGTACATGATGGGCTTGTCAATATACTAGTCTGGAGTGTTCTGTCTGGCAGGCAGTGGCACTTCAAGGTGGTTCAAGGTCAACAACTGGGTCTCAATATTTAAGGCCAGATGACATGGAGTTAAGGAGCCCGGGGTTATGTGAGCCTGGCCGGCATGGCTCAGTGGCTGAGCATGGACCCATGTACCAGGAGGTCACCAGTTTGATTCCCCATCAGGGCACATGCCCAGGTTGTAGGCCTGATCCCCAGTGGGGGTGTGCAGGAGGCGGCCAATTGATATTCTCTCTTATCGATGTTTCTCTCTTTCCCTCTCCGCTCTTCCCTCTCTAAAATCAATCAAGAAAAAAAAAAAAAAGGATGTAGGCAAGATCAAGTGTGACAGGCATGACGTCCAGCTGACATGCCTTTTCTGGTAAGGGACTCTCTAGGGAGTTAAGAACACATGATCAGACCCCTGGCCAAGTAGCTCATTTGTTTAGAGTGTCATTCCAATACATCAACGTTGTAGGTTCAATCCCAGATCAGGGCACATGCAAGAATCAACCAATGGAAAAAAAAAAAAAAAAGAAAGAATCAACCAAATAATGTATAAATAAGTGGTGCAGCCACCAGGAATTGAACCGGTGACCTCTTGGTGCATGGGTTGACACTCAACCACGGAGCCATATTGGCCGGGCAGCAATTTTTTTTTTAAATCATAAGATTGGAATTAGAATTGTTTGAAACCCTGCTGAGAGGCAAGAGAGAGAAAAAATATTGCAAGAGCCGTGTGCTGCAAGACAAACACATTGCCTGCTATAGAAGCAGGCTACCCATATAGTCAGAAGGTTCCTAGGAGCCACTTTGCAAAAGGTAAGAAGAGGTGCATCTTATTTTTTTTCCTCAGCAATGATCTAAAAAGGTCACCACTTCATCAGCATATGAGTTACTAATGAGTCAGCGCACAGAGCACTGTAGGTAAAAGCTGGGGTGTATTTTAACGCTTAGCACATGGCAATTTGAATGAGTCACATTTCAAGGGCTCCAAAGTGTCACCTGACTACTGTATCAAGCAGCAGAGACCTACACTACATTATAAAACCTTGGATACAGCCCCAGCTGGGTGGCTCCGTTGGTGGGAGTGTCGTCCCGGGCAGCCAAAGGTGGCAGGTTCACCCTGGCTGGTTTGACTCAGTGGTTAGAGCATCGGCCTGAAGACCAATGAGTTGCGGGTTCAATTCCAGTCAAGGGCATGTACTTTGGTTGCAGTTCATCCCTGGTCCTGGTCAGGTTGTGCGGGAGGCAAACAGTCGATGTGACTCTATCACATCAATGTTTCTCTCTGTCTCTTTCTCTCTCTCCCTCCCTCCCACTCTATCTAATGATAAATGGGAAAATATCCCCTGGTGAAGAATAATAATAAAAAAAAGGTTACATATGAAACTTGTCTTTCTCTGTTTGGCTTGTTTCACTTAGGATGATACTTTCCAGGTCCCTCCATGTAGTCTCAAAGGATAAGAGATCTTTCTTCCTTACAGCTGCGTAGTACTCCATTGTGTATATGTACCACAGCTTTTTTATCCATTCATCTACTGATGGACACTTGGGCTGTTTCCAGATCTTAGCTATTGTAAATAGTGCTGCTACAAACCTGGGGGTACATATATTCTTGCTGATTGGTGTTTCAGGCTTCTTAGGGTATATTCCTAGAAGTGGGATCACTGGGTCAAATGGAAGTTATTTGTGGAATATAATGAACATAACAGTCTGAGGAAGGGGGTAGTCCCAGAGACGCGGAAATGGGATACAGACTGACAATCCCCTAAATAGGGGTGGGGGGGGGTGGGGAAGAGATAAACCACAGAACTTATATGCATGTGTGCATGAACAGTGGACATGGACAACAAACTGGGGAAAGGGCAGGGAGGGAGGGGGTGGGGAGAATCAGTGGGGGAAAAAGGAGAAACATCTGTAACAAAAATTAATTAATAAAAAAAGAAAAAAATTGTAATACCTACAATTATTAAAATTTGTCTCATCAAGCAAAAAGAAAAAAGCAGTTGAACCAATAAATGTTACATTACACTTATTAAAAAAAAAAAAAGGTTACAGGTTCGATTTCCAGTCAGGGCACATACCTAGGTTGTGGGTTTGATCCTTGGTCAGGGCACATAGGAGAGGTAGCTCCTATTTGTCTCTCACCCCTCTCTCTCTCTCTCTCTCTCTCTCTCTAAATCAATAAAAACAAGTCCTTGGGTGAGGATTGAGCAAACAAACTTGGATATACACAGGCGTCACCTAGGAAGCTTGGAAGGATTCCATGCCTATGGATGGGTCTAGAGAGAATTCTGCTGAGTGAAATATGCCTGTCAGAGAAAGACGAGTTCGTATGATTTCACTTCTAGGTGGAGTCTAAAGAACAAAATAAACCACCCAAACAGAAACAGACTCAGATACAGACACCAGACTGGTGGCTGTAAGGTGGGACGGGGTTTGGGGAGCTGAGTGGAAATGGGGAGGGGATGAAGAAGTACAAATTAGTCGCTGCAAAGTAGTCACAGGGATGTCAAGTGCAGCACAGGGAATCTAGTCAATAATATTGTAATAACCATGGGTGGTGTCAGGTGGACACTAGACTTATTGGGGCAATCACTTTGTAAGGTATATGGATGTCTAACCACTATGCCGTACACCTACAACTAATATAAAATATTCAATGTCAACTGTAATAAAAAAAATTTTCATGCCTAGGGGGAGTCATAGATCAATTAGTTAAATCAGTATCTCTGGCGACAGGTTCTAGATATCAGTATATTTAAAGCTCCCCCGTAAATTGTGAAAGTTGCCCCCAAGGGGACATTTGGCAATGTGTAGAGACATTTTTGGTTGTCACCAGTGGGGGGCAGTGTGCTGTAAGCATATACAATTAAAAGTGTTGGGATGCTAGCATTGGGTACCAGGGATGACGTTAAATATCCTATAATGCACAGAATGTCTCTTCCTCACCCAAAAAAGACTCACCCAGCCCTGAATGCTGCCGATCTCAAGAAAAGTAAGGATTTCAATTTGTGAGTTTGTGCAAGTATGTTTATAGACATACTATGTGGGAAGGAAACACTATAAATAGGAATTGAAAACAAAACACAGGGTGTGTAGTAATTTGATATCTTGGAGGACATCAGAGAGATGCAAATTAAAACCACAATGAGAGCCCTGGCCAGTTTTGCTCAGTGGTTAGAGCATCAGCCTGCGGTCCAGAGAGACTCGGGTCTGGTTCCCACTAAGGGCATGTACCTCAGTTGCAGTTTGTCCCCTGTCCTGGTTGGGTCATGTGGGAGGCAGCCACTTGATGTGTCTTTTTCACATTGATGTTTCTCTCTCTCTCTCTCCATCCCACTCTATCTGAACAAAAAATGTCCTCGGTTGAGGATAAAAAAACACACACACACAAAAACAAAACCCACAATGAGATATCACCTCACATCTGCCAGAATGGTTATCATCAATAAATCAACCCACAGGTGCTGGGGAGGATGTGGAGAAAAGGGAACCTTCATACACTGTTTGTGGGAATGCAGACTGGTGCAGCCACTGTGGAAAACAGTATGGAGTTTCCTTAAAAATTAAAAACAAAAGCTGTTGTTTGACCCAGTGATCCTGCTTTTGAAAATACATCCTATGAGCCCAGCCACTGTGGCTCAGTGGTTGAACATTGACCCATGTACCAAAAGGTTGCCAGTTTGATTCCTGGTCAGGCCACATGCCCAGGTTGTGGGCTGATCCCCAGTAGGGGGTGTGCAGGAGGTGGTCGATTGATGTTTTCTCTTGTCAATGTCTCTCTCTCCCTCTCCCTCCCTCTCTCTGAAATCAATAAAGAAAAAAATATATTGTAGGACACCATCAGCAGATAAGTGGATAAAAAAGCTGTGGTACAATTACACAATGGAATACTACTCGGCTCAACATTATCTCTGTGTTCCTCAAACCCTGGTCCCTATCACTCCTTCCTTCTAGGACAAAGTGTGGACAGCTTCTGCTCACCTGTAAGTTCATCCTTAGCTCTCTTAGACAGATCTGCTCGGTTCATCTTGTCAAAGACCTGGATGGTCGTTGTCTCTACCCAAGAGAGGGGGCAGCGGGTGGTGAGAATTTCTGCCAGGCACTTCCCATCGGCCTCGTCTACCTCTGTTTGGGAAATGTGCTGTAACCCATCTTGTGGGAAAAGGGTCCTCAGCAGAGACTTGAACTTGCTCAACTCGTCCTGGTTGAGCTGTTCCAGAAGAGGCCGCAGGTTGAAATCCAGCTGTGCAGAAGGTTCCATCCTGTCCTGTGTGGGAGAGCCGAGCTTTTGGCAATGGAATACTATGCAGGCATGAAAAAGAAGGGAATCTTACCCTTTGCGACAGCACGGATGGACCTGGAGATTATTATGCTAAGTAAAAGAAGCCAGTCAGAGAAAGACAAGTACCATATGATTTCACTCATATGTGAATCTAATGAACAAAATAAACTGATGAACAAAATAGAACCAGAGGCATGGATACACGGAACAGACTGACAGATGCTAGAGGGGAAGGGAGAAGAACTGGATGAAATAAGGTGGAGAGATTAGCCAAAGAAGGTATATGCATAACCCATGGACACAGACAACAGTTTTGTGAGGGCCAGGAGAGGGAGGACGGGGGGGGGGGGGGGGGGGGGGGGGGGCTGGGTGGAGGTAGGCAAAGGGGTGGAAAATGAGGAACATCTGTAATAGTGTCAACAAAAAAATAAAAGACTAAAAAAAAAAGAAAGAAAGACCTTGGCAACCACCTCATTTTCAATGCCATTTATATGCTAATCAGGTGTGAAGCATATAATTTAGCCCTTTTGGAAAGAGTTGAATGAGGTCATTGGTAAGGATGAGCCTTTAAAACACAGAGAGAGGAAATTTGGAGAGGTTAGTGATGGTCTCTTGTCACCCAGCTGTGAAGTGTGGACGCCAACAGTCTAATCAAAGCTGTCTTATTTCAGAACCCGTGATCTCAATTCCTCCGAGAACTGATTCCAACAGACACCGCCCTAACATTCCCCAGCATCAGATACAAAAATACAGGCTTTGCAGGAGAGAAAGTCAGCTGATTAAACACAGAGTCGAATGTTCTGTTAAACTGGGAAACAGAGTAAGTGGAATGTGTCAACACCTGGTGGGTTTTCAAGGTTGTTGATCGTAACCCCATACTCCTGGTATCATTACAGTGGAAAAGAGGAAAGTTATATACGCAGTGTGGTTACAATGAAACGAATCTTACACAGAAATAGTGTACACACACCCAAATGTTCAGTGCCTGTATTTACATTGAAATGTAAAAGTAAATGGGACACTTAGGTGTGGAATTGTTACATGAACAATTGTAAATAGTGGTTCTGTGAACACAGGGGTACATATATTCTTTCTGATTGGCGTTTCAGGCTTCTTAGTGTATATTCTTAGGACTGAAATCATGGGGTCAAATGCATATCAATTTTTAACTTTTTGAGGTAACACCATATTGTTTTCCATAGTGGCTGCACCCGTCTGCATCCCCACCAGCAGTGTACTAGAGTCCCCTTTTCTCCACACCCTCGCCAGCACTCGTGATGATTTGTTGATGGCGGCCATTCTATTTACAATTGCTCAGATCTGGAAACAGCCCACGTGTTCATCAATAGATGAGTGGATAAGAAAGCGGTGGTGCATGTACACAATGGAGTACTATGCAGCTGTAAGAAAGATAGATCTCTTTTCCTTTGAGAGGACATGGAGGGCCCTGGAGAGTATTATGTAAGTGAAATAAGCCAATCAGAGGAAGACAAATACCACATGATCTCACCTATTTGTGGAATATAATGAACAAAACAAGCTGATGAACAGAAGGGACCGAGAGACATGGGTGTGGGTAGAGGTTGACAAACCTCAGAAGAGGGAGGTGGGGGGAGGGAAGAGTTAGACCACTGAACTTATATGCATGTATGCACAACCAATGCTTCACACAGTAACACCTCAGCCTGCTGACCTACTGAGTGTGTCTTTACCCTTAAGACTTTCCGAATAGCATGTTTCAAACAGAACAGGGTATTTTATACTGTTCTCATTTGGAGCCAAGTTCATCCAGTTTACACTTATATCCAGAGACCTTAGGATGTTGGGATTCAGCACAAAAAAACACACAACAAAAACCGTTCAGAGTTCTAGGAGTCACGACCAGAGGCTTCCCCTCCAAGACGGTTCCGTCTTTTCACAAAAGGGAATCTGACGTGAAGCTGCTGTAATCCTTCAAAGGTTTAACGTGCACATGTTAAAAAGAATAAAGGGGGAGGAATTTTTAGTGCAGACTTAACCGTTGAATGAAGAAATAGACGCACGGAGTCAAGAAGAAGCCGGGATGTTACTCACCTCGCCAACACCTGGATCTACTCTCTGGCTAAGAGGGCAGAGGGTTGGACAACCCTCCCATAAAAAAGCTCCTCTTTCCGCCCGAGCTCTGTGATTGGCCCTTGGCAGCCCAATCCTGTGTCTCTGCATCCAATGTGATTACCAAGAGGTGGCGGTCATTTCTTTAATTTGAGGGCTGTGTTCTCAGCATTCTTTACCAGGGCTGCTCTACAACTCACCTGTGCGGAGCATCATTTCCAAGTCCCAGCGCCCAGAGATTCGGACGTATGGGTCAGTGGGGGCTGCTCAGATGTCAGTGGTCGTTAAAGATGGCCAGGTGATCGTAATCGTGGCCCAGCGTGCGAACCAGGACTTGGAAGCTTCAGCTGTGACTGGGTGCCTCCTGCTCGCATACAGGTATTTAAAAAAAAAATGATGAGAGAGAGAGAGAGATTTGTTGTTCCATTCATCTCTGCATTCGTTGATTGATTCTTCTATGTGCCCTAACCGGGGAATCTGACCTGCAATCTTTTTTTTTTTTAATTCCTCACCTGAGGATATTTTTCTACTTATCAGATAGAGTGGGAGGGAGGGAGAGAGAGAGAGACAGAGAGAAACATCGATGTGATAGAGCCACATTGACTGAATGCCTCCCACACGACCTGACCAGGGCCAGGGACCGACTGCAACCGAGGTACGTGCCCTTAGCGGGAACCGAACCTGGGACTCTCCCATCTGTGGGCCGATGCTCAAATCGCTGAGCCAAACTGGCCAGGGCGAATGTTTTAAAGTAGATTTATTTTTATAGAAATAATGTCTTCCTGATTCAAATGTCAGGGTGGGTGTGTGGGGGTATGTGAGGAGGGCAAAGGGCAGGATAATGGGGACGGACAGAGACTTTGCTTGGGGCGTTGGACGCACAGTGTAGTGTGCAGGTGTTTTATTGAGCTGTACACTTGAAACCTGTATGGTTTTGTGAACCAATGTCTCCTCAATAAATTTAATTAAAAAAAAGAACAAAGGAAATTATTCTGTTTCCTACCATCCAAAAGTTATCATCAAATAGGCTCATTTGTACCCTGCAATTATATATGTAATACATGAGACCCTGAATTATAATTATTTACATGATCAAATGGAAAACTGTTCAGTCATTTAAATCATGCATATAGATATAAATATTTTACATATAATAGATGATAGTATATTACATGTATAATCTATTATACATCATATTAATGTCTGAATAGGCACATATGCAAATATATGTGTAGATAATTACATATAATATGTTAGAATATGTAACTGGTATAATATGTAGTATATTACATATTATCTAAATATGTAAATATAGCTGATTTCAATGACTAGATCGTTTTCCATTCGGTCATGTACATACTTGTCTTTACCACTTGATGGCCAACTTTTGCATAACATTCTGTGAGTGTGGTGTGTGTGAGTGTTTGTGTGCACATGTGTGTTTTTCTGTGGCTATTTACAGAATACTGAACCGAGACTTCCTGTGGATTCCGCATTCTGGAACCAACCCCTTCAGGTCTAGTTCCCCAACGAGGCATGTCGACTTGAGTGGGACTCATCGTAAATTCTGAGACACGTGGTCAAGTGCTCTCCAGGACTTTTGCAGAATGGAGACTTCTGCCTGCTTTATTTTTTCTTACAATTCAGTTTAGAAAAGTCACAGAGGTGGAAAAGGGGCCGTAGGAGCTTAGAGGACAGAGGGGGCAAGGCAATGCCCAGGTGGGAAGAAGAGAAGGAGGAGCAAGGTGGGGGTGTGCTCCTAGAGAGGAGAGCCCCAGCGTCTTCCTCTGACTCCATCACAGCAGCCTGTCCGCTGCCGCAGCCTCGGGGGAGCTCTAAATTCTGCTCTTTCTTTTCATGCTCATGACCTAATTTTGGCTCAGACCTGACCTTCTCTGATATAGCTTCTGTAAAAAATTTTTTTTTTCTTTATTGATTTTAGAGAGAGGAGAGGGAGAGAGAGAGAAACATCAATGAAAGAAAACATCGATTGGCTGCCTCCTGCATGTCTCCCACTGGGGATTGAACCCACAACCTGGGCATGTGCCCTGACTGGGAATCGAACCGATGACCTCTTTTTTTTTTTATCCTCACCCGAGGACATTTTTTTCATTTTTTGCACAGATAGAGTGGGAGGGAGAGAGAGGAAGAGAGAGAGAGAGAGAAACATCGACGTGAAAGGGACACATCGAGTGGCTGCCACCCGCACGACCAACCAGGGCCGGGGACAAACTGCAACCGAGGTATATGCCCTTAGTGGGAACCGAACCCGGGTCTCTCCGACTGCAGGCCGATGCTCTAACCGCTGAGCCAAACCGGCCAGGGCCTGATGACCTCTTGATGCATGGGTCAATGCTCAACCACTCAGCCACACCGGCCAGGCAAGAGAGAGAAACATTGATGTGAGACAGAAACATCAATCGGTTGCCCCCTGCATGTGCCCTGACTGGGGATCGAACTCACAACCTAGGTATGTGCCTTGACTAGAATCGAACCTGCAACCTTTTGGTGTATGGGACCACGCTTCAATTAACTGGGCCACCTAGCAAGAGGGACGGTTTTAGAATCTTTTCTGTACATGTAGGCTATTCCATAAAACCTGGCACCCAAGAGGATTTAGGGAACAGTAGGGCCTCTGTGTATGTGGGTCCCCTCAGCTTAGCTGACAGCCCCAGATTTAGAAGCAATGATGCCAGAGGAGGGGCCTTCCAACAGAGACCTCCGAGTCTTTTTTTTTATTTTTTATCCTCACCCGAGGACATTTTTCCATTTTTTGTACAGATAGAGTGGGAGGGAGAGAGAGGAAGAGAGAGAGAGAGAAACATCGACGTGAAAGGGACACATCGAGTGGCTGCCACCCGCATGACCAACCAGGGCCGGGAACAAACTGCAACCGAGGTACATGCCCTTAGCGGGAACCGAACCCGGGTCTCTCTGGACCGCAGGCGGACGCTCTAAACGCTGAGCCAAACCAGCCAGGGCTGAGTCTTTTTTTTTTTAATCCTCACCTGAGGACATTTTTGCATTTATCTTCAGACAGAGTGGGAGGTTGGGAGGAAGGGGGAGAGAGAGAGAGAGAAACATTGACGTGAGAGACCCATCGAGTGGTTGCCACCCACATGACCCCAACTGGGGCTCGGGACTAACTGCAACCGAGGTATGTGCTCTTAGCGGGAATCGAACCCGGGTCTCTCGGGACCGCGGGCTGACACTCTAACCACTGAGCCATACCGGCCAGGGTGAGAGCTCTGAGTTGTATTGTCCAGAGGATGGCTCATCTCAGGGTGACCATTGCATACTCGCTGGTCTGGGTCTGCCCGGGCAATGAGGAGGGTGCTGAAGCTGTCCCCTGGGTGGGGACATTGAAGTCCACTTGGAAGTAGGTAACATCCTGTGAGTCTGTAGCTCCAGAGGCCTGAGGAAGGAAGGGAGGATATGATATGATAGTGTTATGTCGGGGACCAAGGAATTGTCGGGGGTCGTGGGGGAGAGTCGAGGAGGGAACTCTTACCCGTCCATTCATGGGTCCCGCTCTCTGTGGCTGTCTCTCTCTCTTGGCGGTATCTGAAGGGAAGAGGACCTTGTTAGGGGCTGCACATTAAAAACAATTTTTTAAAACTGATTCTAGAGAGAGAAGAAGGAAGAGAGAGAGAGATAGAGACATCGATGAGAGAGAACATCGATTGGCCGCCTCCTGCATGCCCCCCAGTGGGGATTTGGCTCACAACCTGGGCATGTGCCCTGACTGGGAATCGAATCGGTGACCTCTTGGTGCATGGGTCCATGGTCAACCACTGAGCCATACTGGCTGGGCGGGGCTGCATATTACATTAAAAAAAATTTTTTTTTTTTTTGTTAACCTCACCTGAGGACAACACACACAGATTTCATCCTCACCCAAGGATATTTCTTCATTAATTTTTAGATAGAGTGGAAGGGAGGGAAGAGGAGAGAGAGAGAGAGAGAGATTGATGTGAGAGAGACACATGGATTGTTTGCTTCTTGAACAACTCTCACGGGGGCCAGAGATCAAACCTGAAACGCAGGTATGTGCCCTTGACTGGGAATCAAACCCGAGACCCTTTGGTACATGGGCCACCGCTCTAACCACGAAACCACACTGGCCAGGGTTTAATTTTTTCTTGAGAGAGAAACATCAAACCGATGACGTCCTGTGTGCGTCCTGACCCGGATCGAACCAGCAACCTGAGCATGTGACCTGACCGGGAACAGAACCCACAACCTTTCGGTGTCTGGGACGACCCTCTAACCAGCTGAGCAAACGGACCAGGGCAAGGACCGCATGTTTGACTTCCCCTCAGGCACAGGTGCTGAAACCCTAACACCACTGCGGTGTTACTAGAAGGTGGTGCCTCTGGGAAGCGATTAGGTTGAGAGGGGGTCATGAGGGTGGGATCCTCACAGTGGGATTCACGGCCTTCGAGCCCCAGCTCCTTCTCTCTGCCGCCGTGTGAGGGCCCAGCGAGAAGGCCGCCGTCTGCAAGGGAACCCCACCAGGGACCAGAGCGCTAGCACGCCCGTGGAGGACCTCCGCGCCTCCGGGACTGAGAACTGAAGGCGGGCTCAGCCTCCCAATGCACGGCTTTCTGTGACGGGACAGACCAGAACAGACGGGGTCCAGTCTTCTGAGACGCTGTTGTGGGCTTCCCCAGCCCTGTCTTTTGCTTTCACTGACAGAAGCTGGGGCTCAGAAAGTTATCACAAGGCCCTGGCCGGGTAGCTCGGCAGCTTAGAGTGTTGTCCCTATAGGCCAAGGTTTCAGCTTTTATCCCCAGTCAGGGCACATACAAGAATCCACCAATGAATGTATAAATACATGGAACAACAGATTGATGTCTCTCTCTGTCTCTGTCTCTCTCTCTCTCTCTTTCCCTCAATATCAATCAATCAATAAAAAGAAAGTTGCCCTGGCCAGTCTGGCTCAGCGGTTAGAGTGTTGGCCAGCGGACCGGAGAGTCCAGGGTTTGGTTCCCGCTAAGGGCATGTACCTCGGTTGCAGTTTGTCCCCAACCCCAGTTGGGGTCCTGTGGGTGGCAACTAGTCCATGTGTCTCTCTCACGTAGATATTTCTCTCTCTCTTTCCCCTTCTCCCTCCCGCTCTGTCTGAAGAAAAATGCAAAAATGTCCTCGGGTGAGGATTAAAAAAAATAATAAGTGAAAAGAAAGCTATTGCAACCACAGCTTGAATCAGCAAACCAGCCCATGTCTCCACATCTGGCTGCCCCGCCCCCAGCGAACGCCCCTCCCCAGTTCCCTGAATGATTTGCACCACTGGGGTCTCTGCTCAGCTTCCCTTCCTCTCCGAAGGACGTACCGGTCCTGGCTTTGCAATGGCGGATG